ATTTTTATATATATATATATATATATATATATATATATATATATATATATATATATATATATATATATATATATATATATATATATATATCAAAATATGCCTTTCGAGAATAAAATTGTACACTATTAATTGTTTTTATATATACATTTACATGTATATGTTTTCTCACTATATATATGGATATTTATTTTTATAAGGATATTTTCCCACAATATAGATTTTGTTTCATTTATAATAACTAATATTGATGTAATCTTTTATAATTATGTATCCGATCTATAATTAGTTCTAATTAGGCATATAAATATATTTAAATCAAAATTTGGGCAATTTATTTATAGAAAATTGCTTAATTGTATTTCATTACATGGAATATGAATATTTATTAAATATAATTTACTATAATTTAGAAAATATAAGTTCATTATTATAATTGTATTCCATTTACTATAATTTAGGAACAATTATATCTCACCATCTTTTATATACACGGTTCATTTCAGTGTTAGTCTAAACTGCAGGATAATATTATTCTCACGATACTTCATCATCCGGCCATCGTTCTCTTTGTGTGAATCGTGAGTATAATAGTAATTGAGAATAATCGTTTAATTTTTTTTGTTTTTTTCTTCCATAATATTCGAGTATAGGAATTAATGTACTTTTTTCATATAGATTATATATTATAACTTAATTCATATTAAGTAACATATATAGTTCAAGATTTGTAATAGTATACTAATCTTTTATTTTGTGGCTTAACTAACTAACAAAATTTTGATTACGTATATTAAACATTTATAGATGTTAAGGCAAGTAGATCTTATTAGAAACTTGGGGGGCGAAAAAAGTCATGGAATCTCAAAATCCGTGTTTTGCACATTTAGTAACAACTAAATTATTTTAAAAAAATATCTTCAAGACATGGAGATGATCTTCACTGATGAACAGGTGATAATTTTATTTTTACACTTCAAATTTGATTTGTTAGCAAACAATATTATCACATTCGTTTCTTCATTACGCATGGCGACACAGTGAAAGCTTCCATTAAGTATATACTGTTATACAAATTTGAGTCTAAGATTAGAGAGAATATAGAAAACAGATGTTATGTAATATCAAACCTATCTGCTTTTTTAATCTTTACATTACCAATTATATAAATTCATTACCTTTTTTTCATGACAATTATAATTTAAATAATTTCGGATAGATTACGAAGATCTTGGAGACCAGACGTATGAATTTCCTTTTTGCGGTGCAATGATGTGGTACGGTAAAAGGAGTGACAAGCATAGACAAATATCAAGGCCCAAATTTAGCCTATGTTGTATGTCTGGAAAAGCCCAACTCCCAAAAATAAGACATGCACCTCCTACACTTAATAGTTTGGTGTTTGGAATTGATCGAAGGAGCAAACATTTCCAAGAGCACGTAAGATCGTATAATATGATGTTTTCTTTCACTTCACTTGATGAAACAGTGCAGACATCTATTAATAGCATAGTTGGTCCGTACACATTTCCATTACACGGCCAAAATTACTATCTATTGGGCGGTTTATTGCCGGAGGAAAGCACGAGGCCTAAGTTTGCTCAGCTTTACATTTTCGACATAAAGAATGAAATTCAAAATAGAATTGATGCCGTAAGGTAAATTTTATCAGATTATATTCCTGTTTAAAAATAGTATAGAGTTTACAAATTATAATTAAAATATTATTTGTTTGGCAGGTCAGGAAACCAATCTAACGATCTTGACCCACACATCGTGGCATCGTTGAAAGATATGATTGATGGTAACAATGTACTTGCATAGTCGTACCGAGTTGTTCGAGATCGTTTTTCCAATGATGGCCATCATGGAGTAAAACTCAGATTGGTAAAAGCCGCATTACTGATGGCAGGACGTACAATCTTCCGAACGCCAGTGAAATGGCACGCTTGATTGTCGGGGACTTTGACACACAATAGGGTGTTAGGGACATTGTCGTTGAGACACGCTCGAATAAGCTTCAACGAATCAGTGAGCTCCATCCTCATTACCTTCCTCTACAGTATCCTCTTTTGTTTCCTTACGGGGAAGATGATTATCGAGACGATATAAGTTTGAGAGAATCTTCGCTTGCGGATAATAGAAAACGGAGGAAGGTGAGCATGCGAGAGTTCTTTGCATACCTAATACATAAACGACGTGGAGAAAATTCAGTACTTTTGCATGCTAAGAAGTTATTTTAGTAGTTCGGTGTCGATCGATTTTCCATGGTTGAGTCACTGAGGTTGAATTTCGTAAGGTTAAATCAGGATGGACTTAGGGTTGACATGTACAAGGGTATCGAAGACAAAATTTTTAAAGAAGACACCGAGGGTAAATCGATTGGACAACGCATTATAATTTCAGGGTCGTTCACCGCAGGTCCAAGATATATGTTTAACAACTTCGTTGATGCTCTTCAAATATATAATTGGATTGGATTTCGAACTCTCTTCATCGGCAATCCTCGATGGCCTGAAATACAAAGGGTATTGCAAGATACAAATCTTAGGTCGGAGGATCGGCAAGACATTCTGTGTCGTGAGTTTAATATGAAGCTCGACAGTATGATGAGAAAAATTAAGAAATGGCGTATATTCGTACGTATTAGAGCATGTAAGTATTTAATTAGATCTCAATTTATAATTATACATTTACTACATCCATAGGAATTAGAGATATGGATCATGTGTGAGTTTAAATATTTATTTATTCATTAACTAAATTAATGCATATTGCTTAATATCATTTGTTTACATTTCCCTCCAGACGTTTGCACTATTGAATTTCAGAAAACGAAATCTACCGCATGCACATATTTTGTTGTGGTTGCATAATGATGACAACGCCAAGACCCCAGAAAAAATTGATAGGATTATATGTGCTGAAATTCCTGATGAAGAAATCGACAGAAATATGTACCAGTTGGTGGAGAAGTATATGATACATGGACCGTACGGTCAGGAGAATTTGAAATCTCTCTGTATGAAGGATCGAGTTTGCACGAAGCGATTTACCAAGCCATTTGTGCAGCAAACTAAGTTAGATGCAAATGGTTATACTGTGTACAGGAGATGGGAAGATGGCAGAACAGTTATGAAGAAAAAGACTACTCTTGACAATGAGTTTGTAGTTCCGTACAATCGGGTATTGTTGAGTAAATACAGAGCTCACGTTAATATAGAGCTATGCAACCAAAAAAAAAAGTCAAACAAATACCTGTTCAAATACATCAACAAGAGCCATGATCGAGTTATGGCGGCATTTTATGAAACACGCAATACTGATTGCGGTGCTGAGATTCGTGGCGAGATAAAGATGTACTACGACTGCAGATATCTGCCGGCATGTGAGGCAATGTGGAGGCTGTTTAATTTTGATATTCATTACAGAGACCCATATGTAATTAGGCTAAGCTTTCATCTCCCCGATCATCAGCCGCTTGTCTTCAATAAAAATCAGTCATTACAAAGTGTTATGGACAGGCCATCTTCCAAGCAAACGATGCTCTTAGCGTGGTTTGAGGCGAACAAGAATTATCCACATGCTAGGAACTTGAGAATTACGGAGATTTTCCACAGCAGTTTGTGTATAAAGAGGATTCTCGCACTTGGGCGCCAAGAAAAAAAAGATTTTCTATTGGTAGGATTGTGAATGTTCCCCCTAGAAAGGGGGAAGACTATTACCTTAGGTTGCTACTTAAGATTCAAAGTAGTTGCACGTGTTACGAGGACATCAGAAAAGTTGCTGGCTACGTCTACCCTACGTTCCAGGATGCATGTTATGTGTTGGGTTTGTTAGACGACAAAGAATACATAGATGCGATAAGAGAAGTGAATGCTTGGGCATCTAGGGATTATATAAGGAGGTTATTTGCGGTTATGCTGCTTTCCAATAGCTTAAGCCAACCCGAACATGTTTGGCGAAGTTGTTGGTCAGATTTGGCGGAGGGTATTGCTTACAAACAACAACGGCTTCATAATAATCCAGGTATGACAATTTGTATAGAACATTATTCAATTAGATTTTAAATATTACTCATTTTTTTAATATTCTCTCTTTAATTTTTGAACTAAATGCACAAAATGTATCAAATTTTTGTGCAGATTTATCTATATCGGATGAAAGCTTGATGAACTGTACTCTCACTGATATAGAGAAAATATTGCAAAGTAATGGCAACAGTCTACGTAATTACGCGCCCATGCCATTTCCAACCGAATTCGCGATGGAAGACACAGTAAACATATTGGTCTTAGATTAACTGGATTACGACCGGTTTGAAATGGGTAGAGAACTTCAACGGTGTCTTGCCTCAATTACAGACGAGCAACGAAAGGTTTATAATGTTGTCATGGATACTGTATCCAATGACCGTGGTGGAATGTTCTTTCTATATGATCATGGTGGAACGGGGAAGACGTTTCCCTGGAAAATTCTTTCGGCTGTAGTCCATTCCAAGGGAGAGATTGTAATTAATGTTGCATTGAGTGGTATAGCCTCGCTATTGCTCCCCGGCGGAAGAAAAACTCATTCTCGATATGGACTACCCATAAATGTACACGGGACTTCCACCTCCAGCATAACGCAACAAAGTCCACATGCGGAGTTTTTTATTAGGGCTAATCTTATTATATGAGACGAGGCTCCTATGATGCATAAGTACTGTTTTGAAGCGCTTGACAAGACAATGAAGTCAATATTACAGGTAGACAAATCGTCTGGAGGTAAGGTGGTTGTTCTTGGAGGAGATTTTAGCCAGATTTTACCTGCTGTACTCAAAGCATCAAGGCATGACATAGTACATGCTATGGTAAACTCCTCTCTGTTGTGGAATTTCTGTCTTGTCCTGAAGTTGAGTAAGAACATGAGATTGCAGTCATGTTATTCTCCACCTAACGTGGACGAGGTAAGAGAATTTGGAGACTGGATACTGAAGGTTGGTAATGGGGATGTTGGGGAACAAAATGTTGGTGCAACTTCGCTATAGATTCCCGATGACATGCTGATTGGTGCTTCAGAAGATCCATTCAGAGACCTACTGAGTTTCGTATATCCCGATTTGTTGAGTAACATATATGATCCAAATTATTTTCAAGGGAAGGAAATTCTTGCACCAACTAATGAATGCGTCGAGTCTGTGAACGATCACTTATGTCTCTCCTTCCAGGTGAGGAGAAGTTGTACATGAGCTCAGATAGTATGTATAGGGACGAGCAAACAACGGAAGATAATGAAGAAATCTATTCGACTGAATTCCTGAACACAATAAGATGCTCGGGAGTTTCTTCTCATGTCTTGAAGTTCAAGGTCGGTGCACCAATTATGCTAATAAGAAACATCGATCAAGCTAGAGAATTGTACAACGGGACCAGACTTCAAATTATTAGAACCGACATTCACGTTCTGAATTGCAAAATTCTATCCGATAAAAATATCGGTCACATGGTGTTCATTCCTTGGATGACTTTAATACCATCTAACTCCAGACTGCCAATTAAATTTCAGAGAATTCCTGTTGATTGTTTCTTTTGCAATGACGATCAATAAAAGCCAAGGCCAAACTCTTTCGCATGTTGATTTGTATCTTCTTAGGCCTGTCTTCAGCCATGGTCGACTATATGTTGCACTTTCCAGAGTTAAGAGCACAGGTGGCATTAAGATATTCATCAAGTGGAATTCGGGTGAACTCACCAATGTGACTAGAAATGTCGTATACAAGGAAGTAGTCATTGAATTTGAAGGTAGAAAATATTTTCATATTTATCACTTTTTCGTGTAACATGCCCTGATTTTTATTTTTTTAACACCTTATCTTTAGCAGGTCTATCTTCCTTATATTTTCCCCCGTGCGATGTTGTTTTCAGTTATGTCCCTAGGATACTCAATTCAAATCTTATTATCTTTAAGATTTATGTTTGTCGATATACTAATATTTAATATTATTCTTATATTGTAACTATGAACAACATGATACTCATAACATATTTTTAATATTGTTGGTCGATGAAGTTTTGTACTTAAATTCAATGAGCGTAATAATTGATATATGCATAAATTTGTTTTACAGACATGAATTTTCAGTTGAAAATATGCCGCCCCGTGCATCGCACGGGTGAATACTAGTAATTTTAAAAAGGATTTGAACTAAATGACGGATAATCACAAGAAGGTATATAAATACTTAAAAATAACGCCGTTGCCGGGGATCGAACCCGGGTCACCCGCGTGACAGGCGGGAATACTTACCACTATACTACAACGACTTTGATGTTGACGCGTTAATACAAAACTTATATGTATTAATTATTAGAAAAGTACAAAAAGTATATACGCCGTTGCCGGGGATCGAACCCGGGTCACCCGCGTGACAGGCGGGAATACTTACCACTATACTACAACGACTTGCTGGTTAAATGGTAATGAAGACCATAGAAACTTAATGATCACATAAGAACACTTGAATAAAGAATATATGTTACTTATGAGCAAATATTGTAACCTACAACTGAGAAAACTTAAATCATAATTAAACAGACTCAAAATATTTACACACACAAAATCTAATAACTAATTTTTTTTTTCTCCACAATTTTATTCAAAAGTCAGGAATTGAGCTCAGCATGCATTAATAAACAATAGTAGTTGAAATTCCAGTAAATTCTTCCCTCTTTAATAAACAATAGTAGTTGAAATACTGAAGTATTTATTATCATTTAAAAAAAAAAAAAATTGTTAATTTATAATAAAAAAATACTAAAGTTTTTGTATGTATATAAATTCAAATGTGATGTAATAACTAGGTAATGTTTAGAAAGTTTTTGTCAACGGAGGGAAGAACATTTCGATATATAATTGTTTATTTCTAAAAGTTAGGAGCATTTCATTTGCAAATATTATTTAAAGACAATTTTAAACATTCAATTTAGAAGTTTTAGGGCTAGCTAAATAAACGTTAATTTTCAACTTAATTATTTTTGTGAAATACTTTAATGTTATAATAAATTAAAATGCGAATAAAATAACTTACTTTCACTTAATTATATACAAATTTAATCAGAAAATTGCGATTTAAAAAAAACCAAAAATTCAAACACCAACTGATAGCTAGGTTAAAAGTTGGGATGAGGGCAAAATAAATGAGATAGTGAACTACCCAACCAAATCATTAATATAAATAAATAAATATAATCATTAATTGCTATTTGTTACATAGTCTTGTTTCTTCTTCCCAATTAATTCCTCCCCTTTGCTTTTTCATCTTTTTATACTTCGTCTATCCTTCAACTATTCATTCATATATATTTTTTTCTCTTCAAGAAATATATTATATTTACATATATACATATATATATAGATATATAGATATAGCCAGTCTGCATGAAAATGGGTTTAGGGTTCATGAAATTGGCTCTCTGTGTTGCTTTTGCTTCAGTTCTGCTCTTTCATGGCTTTTCTTCATCTCATCAAGCTGGTCTCTCTCTCTCTCTCTCTCTCTCTCTCTCTCTCTCTCTCTCTCTCTCTCTCTCTCTCTCTCTCTCTCTCTCTCTCTCTCTCTCTCTAGCTCTCTCTCTCTCTAGCTCTCTCTCTCTAGCTCTCTCTCTCTCTAATATTAAATTTGTCTTGTAATTAAATTATACAGCAGCAGCTCCGGAGTATAGTTTCATGCACGACGCCACGTCAGCACCACCAATCTCATACTACGACTACATCATCGTCGGCGGAGGCACCGCCGGCTGCCCGCTAGCCGCCACCCTCTCCCAAAAGGCGTCCGTCCTCCTCCTCGAGCGCGGCGGATCTCCGTACGGCAACCCCAACATCACCGATCTCGCCGCCTTCGGCAGAGCCCTCGCCGACGTCTCCGCCGCCTCCCCTTCCCAGCGCTTCGTCTCCGAGGACGGCGTGATCAACGCACGCGCCCGCGTCCTCGGCGGCGGCAGCTGCCTCAACGCGGGATTCTACTCACGCGCCGAGTCCCGCTACGCCGCCGCCGCGGGCTGGGACGCGCGGCTGGTGAACGAGTCGTACAGGTGGGTGGAGAAGGTGGTGGCGTTCGAGCCGCCGGTCGAGCGGTGGCAGACGGCGGTGAGGGACGGGCTGCTGGAGGCCGGCGTGGAACCGGACAATGGGTTCACGTACGATCACTTGCCCGGGACTAAAGTCGGCGGCACCATCTTCGACGGCGAGGGGCGGCGGCACACGGCGGCGGATCTTTTGAGGTTTGCGAACCCCAAGAGGCTTACTGTTATGTTGCATGCATCTGTTCACAGAATCTTGTTCAGAACAAAAGGTACAATTTTTTATTTTTTTTCGTTCTTTATAAAATATGTTAATTCATTTTAAATTACATTAAAAATATTTCTTAATGAAAATATAAACTGTAAATTATAATGTAAAATTACCAATTAGTTAATCAAGAATATTGCAATTTGTTTTTAAGTTTTGAGCCTATTAATTAAATATTAAAACAATTTAAAAAAAAAAAGAACATGTACATTAGAACAAAATTTGGAGTAAATTAAAATGTGATGTATATATAGAGAGAAATTTATTGTAATTGTTTAAATACCTATAGATTCTTATATTTAAATCTTCTCATTAATTATTTTTTAATTTATTATTATTACTATTATTATTTTATTTAAAATCATGAATGTTTATGTTTTTTAAATATTTTTGTAATACCTATTATACCCCTATCCCCAAGTAAAATTTGGATCAAATTATGGTCATTTAGTTAAAAAAAATGTGACTAGTTGTCGCAATTAATGTATTTATTACAAGCTTATTTCAAATAACTGATAAATTGTTGTATCTTATTTTTAGAATTAATTTTTAAAGTGTTTGATTAATGATCTTATAAGCTATGTTTACTTTTTATAAAAATTAGAACAAAAATGTGGGATGAACGTATTTAAAAAAAAAAAAAATCTTATTTGCTCTCCAGTAACTTATTTTTTGAATTTTGAATTTTTTTAAAATAAATACTTTGAAATAGCTTATAAGTTCGTAAACATCATATAAACTTTTTTTAACAGCTTATAAGTTTTATCCAAATACCACCTCAGTGTTAAGACTTTGTTTTTGTATCATTTAGATTTTCAATAAATGTTTGTTTATGCTAATTAAATAAAACTAATTCAAAACAATTAAACTAATAAACTAAGAACAATAATAATAATAATAATAATTAATTTGTCAATTTAAAAGGGAAGAAGAGGCCATTAGCACATGGGGTGGTATTTCGAGACGCATCAGGTAATAAGCACAAGGCATACCTAAACAAAGGCGGACGTCACAATGACGTCATCGTATCAAGTGGGGCCCTCGGTAGCCCACAGCTGTTGATGCTGAGTGGTGTGGGCCCATCTGACCACCTTAGGGCCCATAATATCTCGGTGGTTCTTGACCAGCCTTTTGTGGGCCAGGGCATGTCCGACAACCCGATGAACGCCGTCTTTGTGCCGTCGCCGGCTCCGGTGGAGGTGTCGTTGATTCAGGTCGTCGGAATCACGAAGTTCGGTAGCTACGTCGAAGCCGCCAGCGGAGAACCTTTCACCATGAGTCCGGCTAATAGAGACTTCGGAATGTTCTCTCCTAAGGTGCGCCCGTTTTTTATATTACTTTATTTTAATTACTCCATCTGTTGTATAATAATTGTCTCTTTTTAACAAATTTTTTTTTTTCATATTATTTGTTGTTGAAAATTTTTAATATTGCATTAAATGCATCATTTTTTAACCTTATTAATTCAACTATAAGTATTACTAACTCTCTCTTATCAGTTATCAAATCATTAAACGTACAATCAAGGTCGTTTTAGTCTTTCTATGCACTCGAAAAAATTTAAATTATATTGAATTTAAATTTTGATCTCATTTTATTTTCTAAAAAATGTGTTTTCGTATTAAATATCTATATTATATTATTTATTCTATATTATGAGTGGAAATGATCAAAATGAAAATTTAGAATTCCATCAAATCAAATTTCAAATAATTATTTTGTTAATTCTAATTTTTAAATTGCTGATCATTTCGGAAATGTTTCGGGCTGGAATCGAACCATTTTATACTTATATATATATATATAATTTTTCAAAAGTTTATTGCAGTTTCTCTATATACTTCTGAAAGCTAGTGGAAATCACCGATCCTCGTTAAGAGAGTTGGTACATACATATATAGTCTTGATTATTAAAATTACGACACAACGCGGTTCAAATCAAGCCCCTCCACTACTTCCACATTCGTTACATAATTCAAATGGTTTTGGAGGGAAAACAAAATTGAGCAGTAAAAATTTTTTAATTTATTTTTTAATTTTTAATAATTATTTTATATATATACATGCAGATTGGGCAGCTATCAACAGTCCCACCAAAGCAAAGAACACCAGAAGCACTCTCCCAAGCAATCAACTCCATGCAAACCCTAGACCCTGCCGTTTTCCGAGGCGGCTTCCTCCTCGAGAAAATCCTCGGACCAATCTCCACCGGACACCTGTCCCTCAAATCCAAGAACCCCAACGACAACCCCTCCGTCACATTCAACTACTTCAACGAGCCGCAAGACCTCGAAAGGTGCGTCGAGGGCCTCAAGGTAATCGAGACCGTGATTGAGTCGAGGGCGTTCTCGTCGTTCAGGTACAGCTACCTCTCGTTGCCGATGCTGCTGAATATGACCGCGAGCGCCCCCGTGAATCTCCTCCCGAAGCATGCGAACGTCTCGACTTCGTTGGAGCAGTTCTGTAAGGACACCGTGATGACGATTTGGCACTACCACGGTGGATGTCAAGTTGGGAAGGTGGTGGATTCCGATTATAGGGTTTCGGGGGTCGATTCGCTTAGGGTTATCGATGGTTCGACTTTTATTTACTCGCCCGGGACTAATCCACAGGCAACTGTTATGATGTTGGGAAGGTAATTAATTACCAGATTAATTAATTAATTAATTAATTTATTTCTTGTAAGTATTATTTTTTTGTAAGGTTTATGAAGTAATTAATTAATTAATTAATTGTTGTGTGTTGTAACTTGCAATGCAGGTATATGGGAGTGAAGATGCTGAAGGAGAGACTGAGGAGTGAAAAAAATGGAATGATATAAATTAATAATTATTTAAGTTATTTCTCTACATTTTATATATTCATGATAGAAATTAAGATTATTATTATTTTCGGATTGTGTTAAAGTTTTATTGAGTCTATGGAGTTTTTTAATTTTTTGAACTCTTTATCTATTTATTTTTTATTTATTTGTTTAATTATAAATTTATAATTGCTTGGCGAATCAATGAAGATGCTCTAAAAAGAAAACATAATTAAATGATACGTGAGAGTAGGGATGTGCGTTGGTTGGTTTAGTTAAAAACCAGCCATAAAACCAACCCAACCCATCCAACCAACTTTGGTAAATATTGGAAACCGTTATCGGCCCAATTTACTTGGGTTGGGTGATGGTTGAAAACCAATTTAATGGATTGGTTGGTGGTTTGGTTGATGGGTCATCCATCTAAATTTTTTTTAATTTTTTTTTAATATTTTATTACCTGTTACAACGCTATATCTTTTATAAATTAAATGCGACTAGTTCAATAATATTCAAATGAAAAAATCAAAACATTACGGGCATATATATTGCAATTAAACATAAATAGTACAACAGATAATAATCATCCAAATATTTAGACTATATGTTTTAAAATTAAAACAGTTCAAATTAGATAATTAGGTTAGATTTATTGCTTTTAGGTTTTTGATCAATATTGAACAATTTAATAAATGTGATATAAAATAGAAATTTGAAGTTAAAAATATTAAATATTTTAATCAAAATTAATAAATAATAAATTAATGAATAAAGTTGGTTGGCCGATATTAACCGACTAACCAACTTTTTAGCATATTATAAACCATTATCGACCCAACTATACATGGGTTGGTTGACATTATCGACCCAACTTAAATGGGTCGGTTGATGGTTGATTAACCATCACAAATTGTGGGTCGAAAATGGGTTGGTTGGTGGTTAAAACCGATCCATGCACAACCCTACGTGAGAGTGTCAAAATTAATTACCTACATATTGTTAAATCAATAATTCATATTTTAAAAAGCTAACTTAATTTTCGAATAATTTCATATAGACCGAATTTCAATTCACTACAACACTCTAAAAAAAAATATTTATTGTTAAATCAAATTTATAAACAAAATCAATCAACTTTTCATGATAGATTAAATATTATAAAAATTTGATAGCAACGTTGAGATGGCCGAGTTGGTCTAAGGCGCTAGATTAAGGTTCTGGTCCGAAAGGGCGTGGGTTCAAATCCCACTCTCAACATTGATTTTTGTATCGGAAATGGATTGTTTCCGATTTTTTTGGAACATATCGACGGAATTTCGTAAATTACATTAGTTAATCTCTTGTTCCAAATTCGGATATAATGAAAATTTTCACAATATTTTTTTAAAATTTTGTACGAAAATGCAAGAAAATCCGAAAGAGAGTTCGACGAAACGCAATAAATAAAAACACATGTAGGAACGACAAATTGAAACATAAATTTTTCTCATAACAAAAAAATGCAACATAAAGTTTCACTACTAGAAAATCGCCTATTAGCTAAGGCACCATCCATCGCTAAACAATTAAATCCGTTGCTAACTCGTGATTAGTGACAGATATTGTGCGTTGCCAATTTCGTAGAAACAAGTTGTGTCGCTAATTTTAGCTACGACTTGATGAAATGCCGTGGCTACACGTGGCAATAGATAACGATTGCCGCTACACTCCGTCACTACGGTTGTCACAGACCAATGTGCCGCTAATATGAAACGTGTATGTTGCTAATGGGTGTGGCTAAAGTTATCACTAATTGTCGTTGCTATGGTAGAAATGAATATCATTCGTCGCCAACATCCGTCACTGTATGAACAACGAATACATTCATCACTAATGTTGAATTTGTCCGTTTCTAACATCCGTAGCTAATTATGTTGCTAAGTGCGTTGAAAATGTGTTGCTGCAAATATTCGTTGCTGGAACATATCACTTTCGAAACAAACTTATTTGCTGTCGCAAATATTCATCGCTAAAATCGGAGTAACACCATCTAAGGGACGATTTCAGCTTCCGTCACTAATGCTATTGCTAAATTTTTACTGTAGCAACGAATCAGTTATACTTTGCCAATGTCCGTCGCTAATAGGCGATTTTTTTCTGATACCAATTAATCTTTTCTAAGGTTTTAATTTACTTGACCGTTCGGTTATTTATGTTTTCATATAAAATATAGCAGAAGTTATATTATGGAATTACAAAATCTATTATAAAATTCTAGGGTAAATTACAACCACCCCCTGAGGTATGGTCAAATTACGAAAACCCCCCTCTTGTTTGGGTAATTACATCCACCCCCTCAACTATAAATCTTCTTATACGTCCACCCTTGCGGTTTCAAATTTAGTGGAATCTTCGAGATTATATGGAATATTATCACTTTTGTACCCGTTTTATCCCGTTCGAACTCTACATCTTGAAACAAGATGATCATAATATGTGTTTTTTGGCTTGTATATATCAAACTGTGGTGCATTAGAAACTGTATTTTTACACAAAACGAGTACAAACTAGAGCACATTCCACAAAATCTAGATGATTATGTTGAATTTGACACCATAATGGTGGAAGTGTAAGTATAGTTGAGGGGGTAGATGTAATTATCCAAACAAAGGGTTTTTTTTCCGTAAATTAACCGTACCTCAGGGGGTTGGTTGTAATTTACCCTAAAATTATATTATATATTTCGAAAAACCATAGAAATATTTGGATCTAAAGTCGGAGCGAAAATCATAATTTTTGGTAATTTCATATACCATTTCAGTTCCTTTCCAAATAAATTCAAAAGAATTGGAAATCGAAACTTCGGACATATATCAGAATGAAAAATACGATTCCAAATTCAGATATTTTCGAATCGAAATTGGCGGAATTCAGAAATTCCATACCAATCCCATCCCTAACTTTAGCTCTATTACATACTAATCCAAAAATAAATAATATTTTTGTTTTTTTGGGTTAGTTAGTTGGACTCAATGTAGAGCTGAAGAAAAAAAAAATCAAAATGGCAAGAGTTCAACCATACGGTTTTGTAAATGCTATATCCAATGAAATGTATCGGGTGGTTTTGAATCATTGATTAACACATAATAATATACACTCGTACGTATATGTGCTTCGTGGGTAGTTATTTATATAAATTTACGGTTCAAAATCACCCAGTGTTTTACACTAATTGGGCTCTCTCACAGATACAACCACTGCTCAAACTGCAAATCAAGAAATTCTAGTTTGTGCTTATGAAAAAAGATACCATTTATATGCACAATATATTAAAACAAATATCAATCATCAAAGCTAATCAGGTGGTATTTCCAGAAGTTTAAAAAAGAACAGAAGTTGGTGATTTTGATTTAAGTTTATGATACATGTTTCTATTAGTGGGGAATGTTTGCTAACTTCATGGAAAAAACAACTCTAGCAATTTATTTTAAACGAAGTTGTTCAAGGGTGTTTTTCTTATGTCAGCATAACGTAACATTTTAAGAAAAGTAAAAACAATAATTGGTATTACAGACACATCAAAAGTGATTATCAGCAAAAAAAAAAAAAGTTTAGCGCAAATTGTATTAAAAAGGTAAATAAGATATTAATAAAATAAAATATGCCAAGAACAGAAAATATATTAAATCTCATTTGATTAGCTACAAGTCTAAATATTTTAATTTTTTAAATCTCAAAAGTAATTTTTTAAACTTTATTAGAACTAAATGACAAGTCTAACTAAAATTTGCTTTACATCCTTTATTAATTTTATTCCAAAAATGCCCCTCCACTCACAAATTCGAAACTACACCAAATTGTAAATATACTATGATGAACTATGGTATTATTTAACATTTTTAAGTTTGCGTCTAGCATTTTTTTTTATTTTTACGTGAAACACGTTTTTTTTTCCGTATTTTTTCATTATTTGAAAAATCTATTTTCTACCCCTTTTTTCATACATAAATTGAAAACTATGATTCTTTTAATTTTTTCAGTCGTAGACATCTACAGAAACCCATAGTCACCCATAGACATCTTGAAACCCTAACTCCTCCTACAAACCCTAGCCGCCAGACCCATAGACACCCATAGACATCCAAATCGATTTTTTCTTTAAATTTTCCCCACCAAACCCTAAATCCGCTCCTCCACCACCACCATCCACCACCACCACCATCACCGAGCGCCGCCATCACACCATCATCCATGCCCAACACCATCGTCGCGCCTTCCACCATAGATTTGACCTTACACCACCATAGCCGCCGTCTCCTTGCCTCTACAACCATCCGCTTATTGCCGTCGTCTCCACCGCCAGAGAAAGATAGCGATATTGGAAAATAAAGAGATAAAGATTGCGAGAGAGAGAGAGAGAGACAGAGAGAGAGCGAGATTGCGAGAGAGAAGAAAAAAGAAAAATAAATCAGAGAGAGAAAGAGATTGTGAGAGAAGAAAAAACAAAAAAAAAATTAAAAGAAATGTGACTTTAGAATTTATGAATTTAGGTTAAGAGTAAATTATGGATAAAAGAAATATTAAGGATGTGGCTCATATTTATTTTTTTAAAAAGGATTTAGTTCATAAAAAAATATTAAGATTGTATTACACATCTATTTATGTTTCCAACTAATGACCTCTAACATATTATCCCTTTAAATTACTTATTTATTAAAATAATTCAAGATGAACGATTAAATTCAGTTTCAACATGGTATACAATACTTATATTTCCTATTTAATGCCTTATAAGTTATAATTAGTGGATTTGACAGGGTTGAATCACCACTAAATTCAGGCCAAAATTAAATTGACGGGTCCGAGTTTCTAACTTTTCAATGAAAAATAAATACATATGCCAACCTACTCCCAAAATTAAAACGATGAATATGTTATAACCACATGAACGATGAATGATTTTTCCTAGTTGTGAACTTTCTGCACAATCATCTAATTTGGAAAGAATTTTGAGGGCATAATTATGTTTATTTATTTATTGAATATTTTTATGCTACACTAGTGGATGTTACATAGAGTGGATTTTTATTGTTGATTCACACACACACATACACATACCCCGATGTACGTGTATGCGTATTTGTGTGTATGTGTGAATGATAAAGATCTATCTGACGTATTTCACCCGATACAAGATAATATACACTTACATATGCTGAATGTATCCTATTTTGATGCAATACCCCACAAATTATACGAGAAGCGTAAACTGAACTGAACAAATCATGTGCGATAAACTTGATATGAAAAAATTATTAGGCGAAAAGTATCGTACAAGACCAGTCTCAATCGATCAATTAGACTATTCTAGAGGATATTCATAGTATTTTTCTTGGGGAAATTTCCTAAGTTTGATGGAAGTAATAAATACGAAGTTGAAGCACATTAACTTCACCTGCCCAAATTTGAATGTTCTCTATCTCCATAAATTCGATATATTATCGACACCACAATAATATATACTTCCTATGTTTTAATTTTTTCATAAAATAAAAATATGACCCAAAATCGGGTGAAAACACATGCTAAGACATTATAGTTGCCTACACTTGAATAGCTCAAAACGATTTGAAAAATATATGTTTTCTTTATGGTGATATTGGATAAAACTCCCTTAAAATTATTTTGTATAGTTAACAATTCGTTCAAATATTTTGAATTTGTTAAAGGTTCATCAGGCAGCTTAGTTGGACAACTCAAACTGAAAATAGACAACTTAGTTAAAAAATTTATGCTGAAAATAGATATTTTAGATGAAATAATATTTTCCCAATGATGTTACGCCTGGAATTAGGTGGTCGATGTAGTTTCTGAGGACGGATGAGTTGGATAATAATAAATTACTTTCAATCTAAAATGACTATTTTATGTTTAAGCTCTCTAACTATGCTGTCCAAGGAACTATTAGCAAAATGCAAAAATATAATTGTCCTGATTTGAAAGAATTTTAGTGGCCGAAGATGTTTAACAAATTGCCCCAGTCTTCCCGTTGGGGGGACCTAATATGTAAAGAAGCACAAAAGACACACTAATTAGAAGGACCCTTATCTAAAACTGTTTTCTAGCTCCAAAGGGAAGGAAGGTCACACTTCTTTGACAGTAAGTGATGGTGCCGGCCACATTCTAACCTCATTTTGCCCTTTTCTCTTTGTTCCTTTCCCCCTTTTTAGCATCAATTTTACTATATATCCTAATCAACTTTCCACCTCTTCTTTATTATTATTATTATCTTTTTTTTGGGTAAATTAAATCTATACATCTGAAATTATGTTAAAATAATTTTAAGGTTCCTATAGTTTTGGTAATTACTGCTGCATCGGAGCCAAGATTTCATGTCCTAGGACCGATATGCACTATATTTGTTTTCTGTGAGGCTGTTAATGCTACCATCATAAACCAAAATTTATAAATCTCATATAAAATAATAAGGATCATTTCACCCCCAACCTCTATGTCGTCTCCACCACTTCCTGAAACTAATAGTTTCGTAAGAACCCTAACGAAATAACTTATTTAATGCATTATTCCATTATGGTATCGAACAATGTGTTAAGGGTTCATTGTAATTACTGATTCTACAAGTACTTTAAAGTTATTTTAACTTACCTCAAGAGTTTAAGTGTCATTTACCCTTTTTTTTTTTAAATCAAGCAAAGAATTCATAGATCAGATGCTCATTTTTCAAAACTTGCCATATGGTTATAACTTATAAGCCCATTTATTATTTATAAAAAAAAAAAAAAAAAAAAAAAAAAAAAAAAAAAAAGAAACAATACTACATACAGCTAAACGTTATTATCCATGAAAGACTTTGTCAAAGCTTATGTCCCTCATCAGACAACCTGGCTCTCAGACAACCGTAAGAAATTCCACTACAGCAGCAGCAAAATATTAAAATCAAACAGTTATGAAAGAAAAAAAAAAGAGGGTATTATTATCATTTATGAGTGAACAATAAGAAAAAAAAAAGAAAATGGAATCAAATTGCATCAGAGAATCATCAAAAGCCTGTTTCAACACTTGCTGTATTAACCCTCTTCTCAGCCTGCCGGAGCCCCACAGTTCCTCCCCTCCCAACTCCGCCGTCACCGTCGATCCTCGCCGGAACTTCATCTCCGCCATACTCTCCTCCATCCAACCACCAAACGCTGTTTTCACCAACCACGAGTCCCTTCCCTCATCCACCGAACTCTTCTCCAGCCTTAAAAACGCAGTCTTGAACTACTCAAACACGGTTTTATCGGACGACATTCGAGCTCGAGATTACTACCACCTCACTGTCTCCAATCACGTATGTCTCGATTACGTGGGCCACGGCCTCTTCTCATATTCCCAAAAACCGAAATACGAAACCGCCACATCATCATCATCGTCGTCATCAGATGATGCTCCATTCTTCGACATTTCGTACAACTCGGTGAACTTGAACTCTTACTTACAATACGGAAACCAAGAATCGGAATTCCAGGCAAAAATACGAAAAAGAATCATCGCATATATGAATTTGTACGAGGAGGACTATTCATTGGTTTTCACAGCCAATCAGTCATCAGCATTCAAGATTCTTGCAGACTCGTATCCATTCCAATCCAATCAAAATCTCTTAACCGTTTACGATTACGAAAACGAAGCTGTCCGAGCGATGGTTGATAGCGCGACAAAGAGAGGCGCACGAGTTCAATCGGCCGTTTTTTCATGGCCGAATTTTCGAGTAAACGCGAAAAAACTCCGGAAAATCGTCGTCGGTAAGAGCCAGAGCAAGAACAAGAACAAGAAAAAGGGCCTTTTCGTCTTTCCGCTCCAATCGAGGATGACGGGGTCGAGATATTCGTACCAATGGATGAATCTTGCTAGAGAAAACGGGTGGCACGTTCTATTAGATGCATCTGCATTAGGAGCAAAGGACATGGAAACATTAGGACTCTCTCTTTTCCAACCAGATTTCATCATATGCTCATTCTTCAAGATTTTCGGCGAAAACCCATCCGGGTTTTGCTGTCTGTTCATCAAGAAATCGAGTATTTCCGATTTGACCCAATCATCAAAAAGCACGGGTATAATCAGCATAAAGGGCCCAATTGAAAGTTCAGCCGCCATTGATGAACCACCAACATCTTCCGCCTCAACATCCCAACAGATTATTATCACTAAAAGCCCAGAAATTCAAGAAATTGACGAAAAAGCCCCTGAATTAACTACCGAGCCCAAAAAAACCCTAGAAATCGAATTTCGAGGACTGGACCACGCAGACGAATTAGGGCTAATTCTGATCAGCAACAGATTACGATGCCTGATTAACTGGCTGGTCAACGCGTTGATGTGCCTCCGCCACCCACACTCCGGCGTTCCGTTGATCGGAATATACGGGCCGAGAATCAAACTGGAGCGGGGGCCCGCCGTCGCGTTCAACGTGTACGATTGGAAAGGGGAAAGAGTCGATCCGATTCTGGTGCAGAAATTAGCCGATCGGAACAACATTTCTGTGAGCGTTGGATTCCTGAAGAACATATGGTTCGACGAGGGTTTCAAGGAAGAGAGAGGAATCGTGCTGGAAAATCGAAGAACGAAGAAGAAGAAGAAGAGGAGAGAGAAATCGGATTGCGGCGTGGGTGCGGTGGCGATTTCGATCGGAATGCTGAATAATTTTGAGGATGTGTACAGGATTTGGGGATTTGTTGCTAGGTTTTTGGATGCTGATTTTGTAGAGAAGGAGAGATGGCGGTACACTGCTCTTAATCAAACTACTGTTGAGATTTGAGTGAGGAATTTTTTTTTTTATTAATAAATAATAATTCTTTAATTATTATTATTTTTTTTTTAGTTTTTAATTTGTATATTAATGATGATTTGGTTCTATTTAATTTTTTTTAATTAGTGGTGACGAGATGATAATTTTAAGATTTGAAGATGGAATTGGGTTTTCCCTAAAAAAAAATGGAAAAATCTTGTGATCAAGCTCGAGCTTGAGTAATTGGATTTTGTCTACAGATTTTTATCTGTTTTCTTCTAATCGAACTCAAGCTTTAACTAAACTTTACAGCTTACCAAATAAAATTAATATTAACAAAATAAAATTGGAAGAATCTTGTCATTGAGTTCGAGCTCGAGTAATTAGATTTTGTTTACATATTTTGTTGTTTTCTTCTAATCGAACTCGAGCTTTAACTAAACTTTACAGCTTACCAAATAAAATTAATTTTAACAATATAAAATTGGAAGAATCTTGTGATTGAGTTGGAGCTCGAGTAATTAGATTTTCTCTACATATTTTATTGGTTTTGTTCTAATCGAACTCGAGCTTTAACCAAACTTTACGGCTTTTCAAATAGAATTAATATTCGAGCTTGGTTCGTTAGTTAACAATTTGAGTTTAAATGAGTGTTTAACGAACAATCTCAAATTGAGTGTATATTTTGAGAAGCGCAGTTCTTGTTTTTGTTATTCTTAAAATTATTTGTTTTAAATTATAATATATGTTTAAAAAAATATATAATTTTTTGTTTCTTGGCCAACAATATCTATTTTGGTTATTCAAGTGGTAATGGTTGTTTTCTAGTGAAAGGTGGAATGGTTTCGACTCGAAAAGTTCCGATTTTAAAATAACTATTTTTCATTTCGATTTTCAATGTTTTTTTTATTGGAATTGTATAAAATAAACACAATATTTAATTATATATGTACCTTATGGGCGATTTAAATACTTTCATTTTGCTCGTGTCACCTACACAAAACCCTTATTTGTTAGTTATTGTACAAAGAACATACACTTTTATAAAACTGGATTTTCTTAATTTTGCAAAAGTATGAAATTTTCGGAAAATTACCGCCAAGTTTTGAAATTTTGAAACTTGTGTGATTTTCGAAACTTCTCCAAAATTCCGAAATTTATAGAGTACTGGAAATATAATGAATTTTTAGATTCCGAAAATTTTGGAATCGAAATTGGAATTAAAATTAATTTTGTACTTCCTAAAAAAATTGAAAATTTTCTGAACAGACTAATTCCCATCCGTTCTATCTGATTTTCACCCCTATTTAAATACAAATCGGCGCTAAAATGTGAATTCTAATGATAGTGATGGCAATTAGAAATTGAGGGGTTAATTTGACGTTGAATGTAAACTTAGAGGACTAAAATGAAATTTTAGCAACTATGTTATACATACCCAAATTCTAACTGGCCCATTAACTGTGGCCCATTGCAGTCTTAGCCCACAGGCATATGATTGAAATCTACTTTCCACCTTCACAAAAGGATTTAATTTTTTTTTTTTTAAGGATTTAAATTCTTTTATCATATATATATTTTCTGTAATAAAATAAAATTATCACTATAACAATAATCGATTAAATAGATTAGACTACTAACAAATATAAAATTTAATTATTTTTTCGCTCGAATTTTGTCGAATACAAATAAGCGATCACCAATTAACGGTAGGAGCTGTCGCGTAGCTATCATGTTTCGACTTTTTAAAGAATATACGTATTTTTTTAGTACTACATTATGTATGGATTTCGCTCTTATAATTTTATTTTTCTTCATACTCTTATAAAACTTCTTACACGTCCATTCTTGTGGTTTAAAATTTAGTGGAATCTTCGAAATTATATAGAATATTATCACTTTTGTACCCGTTTTATACCATTCGAACTCCACATTTTGAAGTAAGATGATCATAATATGTGTTTTTTGGCTTGTAAATATCAGATTGTGGTGCATTAGAAACTGTATTTTTACACAAAACGAGTACAACCTAGAGTACATTCCACGAAATCTAGATGATTATGTTGAATTTGACACCATAAGGGTGGATGTGTAAGAAAAAATCATAGTTGATGGGATAAAAGTAATTATCCAAACAAGAATAATTTTTCGTAAATTAACCATACCTCAGTTTATTTACCCCATCGAAAAACGCGCAACACACTTTTGGTATTTGATTCAGACCAAATTTTGTTGCATGTGTGTCACAAAAAACACGCACCTAACGACCAAGTCAACATACTATATAGTATGTTTTTAATTAATTATAAAGTCATACATAGGATTCCACCTGGAAATTAAAATATAGTTTTAATTAAATAATTATTAATCAAAGGAGGGTGATTTCGTACTTCTCCACACTAATTTCAGTTTTTCTATCACTCTTATATTTTGTTAAGTATTAGTTTGACTAATAATTTAACTTCTTTTTTCTTGTACGTAAGTGGGAAATAAGTCGGGCTTCCTAGTTGCGGCTTTGACCGGCTCGATTTTATTATGGGTAAATAGCACTTAACTCCTCTCTAATTTGTATTCTGTGCATATTACTCCTCTATACTTTTAATATAAGCACCTCACATGATTGTAGTTTGAGTTTTGCAAACACGATCCGCTTGTATTTTTAATATAAGCCATAACCTTCTATAGAAAGAAGAAATTTTTAAAAGTACAAGGGGGTTATGTGCCTATTAGAAAATACAAGGGAGTCAAGTGCTATATTGAAAGTACAAAGGGGTATGCGCACAAACTTCAAACTACTAGACGTAAGTGATGTTTACCCTTTTATTAATTAAGGGCTTGATTTTCGTTATTTTCATTAGAGGGGCATTTTGGTAATTATTCTCGACAAACAGGGTACTATGATAAAATGAGTTTGGACTAGAGGCTATACAAAATAAAGTCCCGACCAATAGCACACACATTGATAATTTTTTTGTCGAACACATAATATAAGATAAAGGGTGAATGGCAAAAATGCCCATCACATGGGACTTCAATGCATTTTGGTCGACAAAAAAAAAGTCTCTCAATTAAACTCATCCCCATGTCTTTAGTCTAAAATACCCTCCATAATATAATTCTTATCAATTCCATCCATTATGCTCTAACTTCCTTAATATTACATATCGACCCCGGATTAAAACAAATATATCACATTAACCCCCCAATTTTTTTTTTCAGAAAATATTTTTTTTTCCAGCCAGATTCTGGCGTTGATCGCCGGAGACCGGCGTTGACTTTTTTTTTTTTTTTTGAAAACTTTTTTTTTTCCCTGAAATTTTTTTCCAGCCGGTCAACCACCATTGACTTTTTTTTTTCTTTGAAAAAAATATTTTAATTAATATTACTGTCTTGGCTACTAAATTTCTGTTTCAGACAGTAATATTACTGTTTGGGACAGTAATATTATGAATATTAATCTTCCCGAACAGTAGTAATATTAATATTATTGTCTAAGACAGTTAAATTACTGTTGGAGACAGTAATTTATCAGCCAAGGCAGTAATATTAATTAAAATAATTTTTTTTAAGAAAAAAATTATAAAAAAAAATCAATTAACAGTTAAATTACAGTCTCCGATTGTTAAATAACTGCTGGAGACAGTAATTTAGCAACGAATACAGTACTACAATAGTATTAATTAAAAATATTTTTTTTTAAGAATAAAAAAGTCGATTAACGGTTAAATTACTGTCTCCGACAGTTAAATAACTGCTGGAGATAGTAATTTAGCAACGAATACAGTAATATTAATTAAAATATTTAAAAAAAAGTCAATTAACAGTTAAATTACTGTCTCCGATATTTAAATAACTGTTGGAGACAGTAATTTAGCAGCAAAGACATTAATATTAATTAAAATAGTTTTGAAGAAAAAAAAAGTCAATTAACTGTTAAATTATTGTCTCCGACAGTTAAATAACTGTCGGAGACAGTAATTTAGCAGCCAAGACAGTAATATTAATTAAAATATTTTTTTAATAAAAAACAAAATTATATAAAAAAAAAAAAAAGTCAACGCCGGAGACCCGACGGTCAATGGCAGTCGACCGGCCGGAAAAAAAGTTTTTCAAAAAAAAAAAGAAAATGAAAAAAAAGTCAACGACAGTCTCCTGTGGTGGCGGGTCAAAATTGAAATTATGGTTAAAATTGGTTAATTGATGAAATTGGGCTAAATTGGGGTGTAAATGATGAAATTGGAGTTGAATTGAGTTTCAATGAATTGAGGGTAATTTTGGTATATATAAAAGGATTTTCCTTATTTGCAAATAAGTTTGAATGAGCTTGATTTATTTGAAAGACAAAAAAATTGGATGTCCATCTTTTAATTAAGTGCCATTGTCATTGCCATTTTAGTGATTAACCCTATGATAAATTATATTTATACAAAAAAAAAAAAAAGAATATTATATTTTAGCTTTTAAAATAGTATAAATTTATAACTATTATTTTTCATAGGGTAACATACAACCACACCCCTGAGGTATGGTTAATTTATGAAAACCCCTCTCTTGTTTTGATTACATCTACCCCTCAACTATGAATTTTTCTTACACATCCACCCTTATGGTGTCAAATTCAACATAATCATCTAGATTTTGTTGAATGTGCTCTAGTTTGTATCCGTTTTGTGTAAAAAAATACAGTTTATGATGCACCACAATCCGATATATACAACCCAAAAACATATATTATGATCATCTTGCTTCAAAATGTGGAGTTCGAATGGATAAAACGGGTACAAAATTAATAATAATCCATATAATCTCAAAGATTCCACTAAATTTGAAACCGCAAAAGTAAACGTGTAAGAAAATTTATAGTTAAAGAATGGTTAAAATGACCCATACATGAAGGATTTTTCATAATTTGGTTATACCTCACTGATCGTTGTAATTTACCCTTTTTCATATTACTTAGGATCAGAAGTGAGACATAGCCTAAGAAGTTATTTTCTTTGTTTTTGACTTGTCAATATTAAGATATTATCCCTTGCATTAAATTAAGTGGCATTTGAGAGTCAAACGTGATGCAAATTGGTCTTGTGTTCTATATATATTTAATTATTATGTTAATTTTATATATGCTTTGAATACAATTTTTAAGTCGGCCCTTATTTCATTTGCAGGCACATAATTTTGACTAATTTGAGCTTGATATATATATGGTCTTACCCCTAAAATCTGAAAGCCTGAAATCAACATTATGCATAAAATTATTAGCCCTAGGATTACAAGTAAAAGACATCGAATCGGCCCTTGTTTTCAATGTGAACGACACTTGCACATTAATTCAATATTTCGGAAAACGAAATAAGGCTCCCCTTTGTTTTGAAGTGCTAATAAATTAGCCACACAATTGTAGATCATTAATTAATATCTTTTAAAATTAGTAAAGACTGGCAAATCAAGGCCAAAAAAAGTAGTTGGGGTTTTGCCTTTTCAAATATAAGTGTTGTGACTTCTAATGGGGCCAAAATCAAGAATCACTAATGTTATTTCCTTAAAAGAAAGATGTTACATAATTTGAATAATTATATGTAGTGAGTTAATTAAGAAATAGTCAGCTTTGGTTGTCTGCTGAACATGAAAAAAATGTTAATTTTCTTCAACGTGACGAGTGAAACTAGGGGTGTAAACAAGCTGAGCTCGAGAATGTTAATTTTCTTCAACGTGACGAGTGAAACTAGGGGTGTAAACAAGCTGAGCTCTATATATATATATATATATATATATATATATATATATATATATATATATATATATATATATATATATATATACACGAATAAATAAGTTGACTAAAAATGTGAAGAGTTGAATTCGGTATGAGCTTAATTAATTTGAATGAAGGCTAAATGCAAGTGCTAACTCATGAGTCAATGACATAGTTAGGTAAAATGTGGGAATTGACCTGACAATTACTCTCCAATAAGCTCAAAGCAATATCACAAGTAGAAAATAATTAAATCTTAAAGCAATATCTTAGTCAATAAATAATCAACTCTAATTTATATAAGAAGGTGGTGTATTTATATATTATAATGTATATTACTAAAGTGTAATTATAAAAAGATCCATTCTTTTTGAGAAAATTACATCCAACCCTCTGAAGTTTGTAAATTTTTTATATCAACCCCTAAAACAGAGCGTTAATGTTAGGGGTGAGCAAAAAAACCGAAAAACCGAACCGAAAAACCGAAAAACCGAGCCGTTTTAAACCGTACCGAATAGCAAACCGCATGTACGGTTTTTTTTTTTTGAAATACCGAATTATTCGGTTCGGTATGGTGGGAAGGTAAATAACCGAACCGAAAAAACCGAACCGAACCGAAACTATAAAATGACTTCATTTTATATAATATATGTATTATTTTACCCTAATATTTATTTTCTATCTTTCAATTACTTGTCTCATTCTAAGCATTTGTTCATAAATTGAGACATTGTATTTTATTTATTTAGTAAGTAAAAATTTACTTGAGTTCATGGTTTTAATAATGTGGTAGATGAAAGTAGGAAAAAAAAAATGAAGCATAATACATCATCTAAATTACGTGAAGTCCTATGAAATTAAATATTTTATATTTTCATTGCATTAGTAAGTTGTGAAAGTAATTGTAATTGTATTTTTTTTTTGTACAACAACTTGAATATTTATTGACACTTGAACCGAAAAATAACCGAAACCGAACCGAAAAAAACCAAAATCGAACCGAAACCGAAAAAAACCGAACCGATAAAAAATCGACATGCACGGTTTTTAATTTTATAAAAACCGATATATTCGGTTCGGTTCGGTTTTTGGCTAAAACCGAACCGAACCGACCCGTGCACACCCCTAGTTAATGTAAAAAAATCTGCCAATTGCAAGTAGTGGATGTAATTATAAAACATATTGTTTTCGTAAATAGAAAACCTTAAGGGTGCATTTGGATGGAGGGATTTGGGGGAGGGATTTCAAATCCATAATAACAAATCCCTTGGACTTGTTTGGATTGAGGGATTTGGAGATGGATTTCAAATTCCCACCCCTCCTTTTTAGTTGATTTTGGAGCAATAGTGATGGATTTCAAATGACTCCAAAATTGGAGTCATTTCAAATCCATTCTCCAAATCAAATCCCTCCCCAAATCCCTCCATCCAAATGGACCCTAAGGGGTTGTTGTAATTTACACACTAATTTTTTTTTTTAGTGTTGATGGATTTAAACGATATGTTTGGGCTTAGTTGACATATATATATAATTATGTCCAATCAATTTTGATTTGAATCTTTTCGTTTTTTTTAACCCATCAATGCATAAATAGTTATCAATTACAGTTAAATCTCTATAAATTAGTACAGTTGTGATTAATCAAATTTTATTAATTTAATATGATATTTTTGAACACGTTGTCCTCAAGTTGGACCGATATAATATTTTGACTGAACGAGGCTATTAATTTATCGAGGTTCTACACTTCTACTGTACATAATAATTGAATATATATATATATATATATATCTATATATATATATATATATATATATATATATATATATATATATATAGAATTAAGAAAAAGAAAATGACGGAGATTCCAAGGGGTGAGATCCCAAATGAAAGCAGGTGGGGTTAGAGTTGGCTGTCAGAGTTTGGCACAATCCCATTTTATTCACAACTGGATTTACTACAGATCTCAATACCTCTCTCTCTCTCTCTCTCTCTCTCTCTTCAATTTCCAATAATTAATTAGTTCAATTTGTGAAAATGTAATATATAAATATACATAAATAAATGAAGATGATAATTAAAAAATATGAATATATTCACGAGTTTAACTGATCGATCTATTTCAAATTGAGTATCGAACATTTGCTTTTTGAAATCTACTCCTAATTATGTAACAAAGTCTTCTCATCGATGGCAGTTAAATCTTTAAAAATTAATACAAGCGGCGACTAGCAGAATTTTATTAATTTAGCGAAATATTAAATTCTGGAAACTAATAATTTAATACGTTTTTACTGAGTCGGGTCGGAAAAAAAAAAATTATTTTAAGCAAAATTATTAATTTATCGAGATATGTTGTAAATATAAAGTGTAAATTTAGAAGAAACCAACTCCGAATTTAAAGTTGTTAGCCTAATTTATCATGCAAACAAGTACCAGAATTTGATTCCTAGCTAGCTAATACAGCATTCAATGAAGAACCATTAAATGACAATAAATGGCACAATCAAATCAATTAGGAATATAATATTTTTATTTATTTATTTATTACTTTTGAAAAAAGAACCTGCATTCACAAAAGAACCTCTAAATTATTTTAAATGAGGAAAAAAAAAACTTCAACTTTGATACCCTTCTTTAGCTTGACATATTGGCAATCCCTCATTAATAAAACCAACAAATTCAAGGGGTAAAGTGGTAAACATTATATATCAATATATTCTTCTATGAAAATTCAAACTATCATAATTTGTCAATTGATTTTAGCAAAAGAGAGGTCTCCTCCAATTATCACAAAATTTAATTAATTAAACAATAGACTTAAATTGTAAAGTGGTGTTTGCATAAGCTTATTTAAAAACAGAATATAGTGATTGTAAGTTAAGTTGATTTCAAGTGTTTATTTCTAGAAGTTTAAGGTATTTGCAAATATGTTGAAAAATCAACTTAAATTGAAAACATAAGTTCAATAGTACTTTTAAAATTATAGCTTAAAACAACTTGTTTTAAAAGCAGAAAAAACAAAAGCTAATTTTACAAACACCTAAAAACAATTACAAACAAAAAAAAACTCATAATCTATATATAAAAGATTTTGTCTACCCCTACTATTAATTTTGAATTAAAAGGGAAAAAAAGTTATAACAATTTTGTCAATAAAACACTACAAATTAAGATACGACTGGTGTTAGAACACGGATATTATGAACAAAATCACATTTAATACTAGATTTTTGACAATTTTAATACCAGATCTAATCCAATTAATCATAGATACAGAACCGAACGTCGACCTAAATTTACCAAAATACAATTGGATCAATAATTAAAAAAAAAACTTTTTATAAAAAAAAACCATAATCCAACATGTGTGACATTAGGCTTAGACTACTCAAATTGACAAATAAAAATAGAAAAAAAAAAAAGTACATCAAAAGAAATAGTCACCTAGAAAAAAAAAAAGGTAGTAATTAATTAAGTAATTAATTAATAAATAAATAAAAATAGTTTAAAAAAAAAATGGTTGGTGAGTGGAAAAATCACGAAGTCTGCATTTGGGGGCTGAAAAATGTGAAAATGCGAACAAAATGTGCCAAAAATCAATTCTTTTCTTCTTCTTCCTCCCCTATAAATTGTCACCATTCCCCCAACGGCATTTACATAACCCAAAATCATCCATTTTCTCTCTCTTCTTTCTCTCTCCTCTCTGTTTTCTAGCTTGCGCACGCACCCCTGCTTTTGCGAATTTCCTGGATTGAGTATTAACAGGGCAGCAAATTTTGGGATTTTTTTCAGGATAATTCATTTTTCGTTTTTGCGTATCTGATCTACTTTTTTTTTTTCGAGTGAAAAAATAAAAATTAAAAATTCAGAGATGGCAAAGAATGTAGGAATTCTCGCCATGGAAGTGTACTTCCCCCCCACCTGCATCCAGCAGGTAATTATCTAATTCTCGATTATTTTAATTTTATTTTTTTAATTTTTTGGGTTTAATCTTTCTTAAACTTGATTTTAGAATTGATTTAGAGTGGAGGACCCACCTAATAATAATTTGAATGCTTGTTTTGTTTTAATTTTAATCTTAATTAGGCTTTTGATCATCTGTTAAAGTTCATCATTCTCTAGATTCATCCTTTTCGCTGTAATTTTTTGATTATTCAGTAGTTATGAAAATAGATCTCATCATCATCGTTTTAGTATACAACTGATTGTGTTTGAATATATATATATATATATATATATATATATCTGTATGTATGTATGCATGTATCAAGTTTCGATCCGGCTAGATTTATATGTTTAACCCTAATAAGTGTTGATTATGTGTGTTATATAGGAAGTGTTGGAGGCTCATGATGGAGCCAGCAAAGGGAAGTACACAATCGGGCTCGGACAAGATTGCATGGCGTTTTGCGACGAGGTTGAAGATGTCATTTCCATGAGGTATTCGATCGAGCTCACTTGAATACATTATTATCCTTTCTTGTAAGAATATTTTGTTAGTCATTTGTTCATATCCGAGTTGGTGTTGATAGATTATCGGAGTCGTTTGTTAGCGGATGAATTTATGTTAGGCCATCTTGTGAAACTCAATTTAACTATGGTTTCAAACTGATTGTCGGAGTTGTTCACAAAAATTTGTGCACATTGATTTTATGGAGTAAGTTTGTCGAAAGTTATTTCGTCTAATAAATTGTTAATTCTTTGAACTTTCAGTATGACAGCTGTCACTTCACTCCTAGAGAAGTATGGAGTCGACCCAAAGCAGATTGGGCGTCTCGAAGTTGGAAGTGAGACCGTACTCGATAAAAGCAAATCCATCAAGACATTCTTGATGCCAATTTTTGAGGTATTTCATTTTTTTTTATTTTTTTTTTCCATTTTTTACCCTACTAGTTGAAGTTGGATTTCCAAATATTTGTGATTTTTCATGAATTATGGGTACACGAGCAGATTACCGCAACAAAGCACTATTCATAGTTAACCAAAAGTTTCTTCAATATTACTTATTAGTAATGCAATTCAACGTACCTATATGTCATAGCCTAATGTTGAAACAAAGTTCGGCTCACTACAATCCGATTTGCTTATCATTTACTTTTTTCTTGCTTTCCGTAAATTGTTCTATTACACGAATCAAGCTTGTTGTTTAAGCTTATTGCTCGTTTAAAAAAAAAATACGCGTCCTATTACAAAGCCTGTAACATTTATTTTTAATGACAGAAATGTGGAAACACCGACATAGAAGGAGTCGACTCAACCAACGCGTGCTATGGGGGTACAGCTGCACTTTTCAACTGCATCAATTGGGTCGAAAGTAATTCTTGGGATGGTCGATATGGGCTTGTTGTCTGCACCGATAGTGCGGTACGACCATTATTTCAAAAAACGTCTACTCGATTTAAAAATATTCAAAAAAAAAAAAAAAAATATTTTCTTAGTTCTTTTTTTGCTAATCGATATTTTTCTCTTTTGATAGGTTTACGCCGAGGGGCCCGCTAGGCCAACCGGAGGAGCTGCAGCTATTGCCATGCTAGTGGGACCGGACGCTCCTATTGCTTTCGAAAGCAAGCTTAGGGCTAGCCACATGTCTCATGTTTACGATTTTTACAAGCCCGATCTTGCCAGTGAATATCCCGTAATTATTCTCCGAATATCCCTTTTTACTCTATTAATTTAATTGTAATCCGTCACAAAAAACCTTCAAAATCTTAAGATTTTTTTTACGTAATTTAGTAAAATTATTTATTTATTTGCTTTCTCGATTCCTTTTGTAGGTTGTTGATGGCAAGCTTTCTCAGACTTGTTACCTCATGGCACTCGATTCTTGTTATAAAAGCTTATGTGACAAGTAAGCCCCTGCAGAAATAACGATGTGTGTGTATGTAATAAATTTTGTTACGTATCGAATGAATGCTCATTGTTATGTATGATAAATAGGTACGAGAAGATGGAGGGTAAGCAGTTTTCGATCAACGATGCTGACTACTTTGTGTTTCATTCTCCCTATAACAAGGTAATGTTTTATTACCATAGGCATTTGGAGATAAATTAATTTATTACATCGAGTTTTAAGTTTTGCTAACATTTTTCTTATAAACTTGCAGCTTGTACAGAAGAGCTTTTCTAGGTTGTTATTCAACGACTTTACGAGGGCTGCTAGGTGAATATTTTCTTCATACATATGCTACTAATATTATTTAAAAAAAATCTTGCTAATTTTGCTCTGTTATTATTTTTTCAGCTCAATTGACGAGGCTGCTAAAGAGAAGCTGTCACCATTTTCCTCGTTATCCAACGACGAAAGCTACCAAAGTCGCGACCTTGAAAAGGTTTTTAATCATCTAACTTATTTCGAATTAAAAAGATTTCGAATTGTTATGAATTTCAGATCCATAATAATAAATATTATTAATTTTATCGACAGGCATCACAACAAGTGGCGAAGCCGTTTTACGATGCGAAAGTACAGCCGTCGACACTTATCCCGAAACAAGTGGGCAATATGTACACTGCTTCGATCTATGCTGCATTTGCATCACTCCTCCACAACAAAAACACAACTCTGGTAAATATTTTTATTATTAATCTCATTAATTAAGATCTTAATTATCGAAAACAAGTCGCAATTTTTTCTAATGAATTTTCTTGAAATTAAATATTTATTACAGGCTGGTCAGAGGGTGATATTATTTTCATACGGAAGTGGTTTAGCAGCTACAATGTTCTCTGTCCGTATTAATGAGGGACAACATCCTTTCAGCCTCTCTAACATTGCAGCCATAATGAACGTTTCCGACAAGTTGAAGAAAAGACACGAGGTAGAATTTTAAATTTACTATGTTTTTTTTAATAATTTGGTGGAAATTAGAAAATGTTTGTTTTAATCGATGATTTTTTTTTTTCGCGAGCAGTTCCCACCGGAAAAATTTGCCGACATAATGAAGCTAATGGAGCACAGATATGGAGGAAAGGACTTTGTGACAACCAAGGACTGTAGTCTTCTTGCACCGGGCACTTATTACCTAACTGAAGTTGATTCGAAGTACCGTAGATTCTATGCGAGAAAGCCCGTTGAGAATGGTACTGCCATTACAAACGGGCATTGAAGATAGTCCGAGAATAAAACGATGCCCGTTTGAGTTTAATTTGTTTGGCACATTATTGTTATTTCGTAGCGTATTCGAATTTCCGTTTTTTTTTCTCGTTTTTTTTTTTTAGTTTGAAAAGATGATTGTGGATGACAATGAAGATGTCATTGGTGTAGTATTCTACATCTTTTTTAATGAAATTGATTGATCAAGAAGGTCCCTTTTGTGGCTTTTTAAATACTTTTGTCAATTCTTGATATATGATGAATGTAGTCTAATAAAAAAAAACATGCTTTTCATTAATCAAACGCCAACAATATTCGAGAATAACAAAACATAAAACACAGTTGGGACTACCAAAATTCTATTAATTTAACGAAATATTAAATTATTGAACTAATAAATTTAGTAGGTTTTTACCGAGTCGGGATCATAAAAAACTATTATTCAAGCGAGGTTATTAATTTATCGAGATTCTACTGTATTACTAATGAGGTTGTGATTGTTGGAATTTTTTCAGCATAATTAATAAATCAATTAAGATTCTTTTTTTTTTTCCTCTCAACATTAATATTGTTAGAATTGTTTTAATACTTGTTAGAAAAATAAGCATTATAAAACATAATGCAATAATAAGAAGTAACAAGTTAGAATTGTTTTAATACTTATTTGTTTGAAATTAACAAGTTTCTATTTGTCACAATAGATGTTAACATGGTACATCAAAACAAATAGTTGAGCACAATCCAAGAAAACATTGTTCTTACATTCTTGGACTAACAGATTCACTAAAATATAATGTGCCATTCTTCTCAATACACAAATTAATTACACTATTTATTCATTCGGAGAAAACAATTCTCCAGCTACACTATATATATATATATATATATATATATATATATATATATATATATGAGCTTATGTATGTTACTAAACCATCAATCGAAGAATAATGAAAAATCCAAGGATGTTTTTGATTTTGTACCCGTTTTTGTTAGCAGCCCTTGTGCTCAGCTGTCGCTGCGATGAAAGAAAGGTATGTCGAAAAAACGTTACTATATAAATTATCTTTGTTTCTGCTGAATTCTTTTTTTCCTTTTTCGGTCGCTAACAAATGCTTCGTTTTACGCATAGTTACACATCGTGTACATGGGAGATTTACCTAAAGGAGGAGATTTGTCGGTTTCATCATCACATCACACCATTCTGCAGACTGTTCTTGGAAGGTATATATATATATATATATATACACCTCAAAATTCTTGTCCAAATCATCTTGAACATTTGATACATTTTGCAGTGCTTCGTCAGCAAAGGAGTCGCTCGTCTACAGTTACGAAAGAAGTTTCAACGGTTTTGCTGCCAAGCTCACCGTCAACGAAGCCGCAAGAATCGCGGGTAACAAAAAGAGTCACATTAGAAGAATGAAACGATTATTCGACTAAAATTAAATGGACTTTATATTATATTACATGGTACTACAGTAGAACCTCGATAAATTAATAATCACGCTTAAATAAAAGTTTCTTCTGGTCGTCCCGACTCGATAAAAACATACTAAATTATTATTTCGATAACTTAATATTTCGCTAAAACTAATAGAATTATGCTCGTCCCGACTCTATTAATTTATAGATGTTTAACTGTACTAGAAATGGAAGGAGTCGTCTCTGTTAACCCTAATCGCATGCTAAAGCTCCACACGACAAGGTCGTGGGATTTCATGGGATTCACCGACGGCAACCTCGGACCTGGCCTCGAAGGACAGGTCATCATCGGACTTCTCGACACCGGTAAATTAAAAAATAATGGTAAATTATTATTATGTATCGATTTAATTTTGTTACTAACTTATTTGATGCTTCTTTTTGTACAATTTATATAGGAGTATGGCCGGAGCATCCGAGTTTCAACGACACGGGTTTCGGGCCTCCACCGTCAAAATGGAAGGGCACATGCCAAACAGCAACAAATTTCACCTGCAATAAGTAAGTAATCAATCCATACTAAATTTCCTTAATTATCCAATCAGAGCCTTAGTTATGAAATTTTTTTTCGTTTGCAGCAAAATCATAGGCGCGCGTTACTACAAGAGCGACAACAGCTACGACGACGACAACGAAGCCCCATCTCCGAGAGATACCGAAGGGCACGGGACACACACAGCCTCGACAGCTGGTGGCGTAGAATTACCCGGGACGAGCTTTTACGGCTTAGCGGAGGGTGTGGCGAGAGGTGGGGCCCGCAATGCTAGAATCGCGGTTTATAAAGTGTGTTGGTTGACTGGATGCAGTAATGCAGATGTTCTTAAAGCATTCGATGATGCAATTGCGGATGGAGTGGATATTCTCTCTGTTTCGTTGGGATCTTTATTTCCTCATCGTTTTTTCGATGATCCTATTGCGATTGGATCTTTCCATGCAATGCAAAATGGGATTCTGACGTCGAACTCGGCCGGAAATTCGGGTCCGGATCCCGTTAGTGTCGTCAACTTTGCACCTTGGACACTCACGGTTGCTGCTAGCACTATCGACAGAAAATTCGTCGCTAATTTGGTGCTCGGAAACGGCCTATTCTTGACGGTAAGTCATTATTACTCGAATCTATTTTTTTCTTCTAGGCGCGGAAATTGGAACAAATTTTTCATTCCTGCCGATTTCAATTCGAAAATTTTCCAGTTGTAGGACAATATTTTTCATTTTGATTTTGAAAAATCGATTTTTCGGATTTTTTTTAATTGGAATTGGAATTTACAGGAGATTCCGATTTCCGATTCGATTTTAATTTTCCGCAAATAATTCCGATTTTTTTTTTTCAAAAATTAAAATTCCACTTACTATAATATCAATGTTATTATTTTATATGTGAAGTGACTGAAAATTTGGAATTTCCAAATTCCGATCCGAAAATTTCCGATTTTGGAAGGAGTTTTTTCGTTACAATTCCCGATTTTTCCTTTTTTTTCCCCTTCCGAAATTGCCAATTCCACTAAATTTTGTCTCCAAAAACAAAATGAAGGGGATCTCGATTAATAGCTTCGATCTGAACGGAACTTCTTACCCGTTGGTATGGGGAGGAGACGCGGCAAATATTTCCATCGGTGCTAGTTCAGACAACACGAGAACTTGTATGTTAGAATCCGACGAGATGAACTACGGCATGCTAGCTGGTGCAATAGTTCTTTGTGAAAATCCGTTTGATGCGGCCGCCTCGAACATTTTCCACTTTAACGGAACGGGAGTTATAATGGTCGATAATGCCCCTCAATATGCCTCGAGCTACCCTTTACCGGCAACCGTCATAAGCCCCGACGACCTCAGAAAAGTCATGCAGTACATAAAAACCACAAAGTAAGCCAAAAAAAAAATTATACAGTTAAACCTCTATAAATTGATACACTCTGGACTAGGGGAATTTTCTTAATTTAGCGAATAATTAAATTATCGAGTTAATAATTTAACACATTCTCAACGAGTCGGGACCGGAAGAAACTATTATTTAATCGAGGTTATTAATTTATCGAGATTCTACTGTAGTTAGTTTTTCATGACTTATAAGGTTATTATAACAACATTTCTTTTTAGGTACCCTGTGGCAACGATTTTAGTCGGCGAGGCATGGAAAGACGCGATGGCGCCTATCGTAGTCTCGTTTTCTTCGAGAGGGCCGAGCCCTTATAGCCCTGATATTCTCAAGGTGATCAATCAAATCAAATCAATCATTCTTTGAATTTATTCCCATTTTACCCTCGTGACTTACGTTATTTTACTTATTGACGATTTAAGCCCGATGTAACTGCGCCCGGCGTCGATATTCTCGCCGGGTGGTCCCCACTTGCGCCGCCCTCGTTCGCATATGGAGACACGAGGAGCGGTGTTTACTTCAACGTAGTTTCGGGCACATCGATGTCTTGCCCGCACGCCACCGCTGCCGCGGCCTATGTTAAAGCCGCGCATCCCGATTGGTCGCCAGCTGTCATAAAATCCGCAATTATGACGACAGGTTAATTAATTCGATTGAACTAATTAAGCTAATTAGACCCCTTTTTCTTTTTAGCAAGCATTAATGATGTTTTATTGACAAAATGAATCAGCTTATGTTATGGATCCGAGTCAAAATACCGACAAAGAATTCGCCTACGGATCGGGACACATAAACCCTGCGGGTGCAGTGGACCCCGGTTTAGTTTTCGATGCGTCTGCAGCAGATTACATCAACTTGCTCTGCAAGCAAGGGTACAACACTACTACCCTGAGGATGCTCACAGGGGATAACTCCACATGTGCTAATACTACAATCGGAAGAGCTTTTGATTTTAACTACCCGATATTGTCAATGTACGTCGAAGACGGGCAGGAAATTACGGGCACGTTCAAAAGAACGGTTACGAATGTGGGCCCGCTTAACTCGACATACACTGCCACGTGGCAAATGCCGTCGCTGATTAGTGTGACGGTCGAACCGTCGGTTCTTGAGTTTTCGGTCGTTGGAGAGAGGAAGTCGTTCACGGTGACGGTTGTGGGGCCCGCGATCAAGCAGCAGCCGATAATGTCGGGGGCGGTGACATGGAGCGACGGGGGGAGCCGTTCGGTTAGGACACCTGTCGTGGTGTACAATTATAATTACGATCTTGGTTCGGAAGATTCGAAGCTTTCGAAGCCGGAGAAAAAAAAGGATGTGTTGAAGGTGAAGAAGGGATTATTGCACAAGAATTATAGGAATGGATTCATCAAGAATTGAGACAGGGCAACATCTAGTTGATAATAATAATATTAATAATCACATCAGAAATAACATGTTACATTATTATTGAAAGTCATCATTGGACAACTAGTGGAAAATATAAAAAAACAATACCGATTTTACCCCTACAGACGTGGAACAAATTGAAATTAGTGCGGAAAAATACGGTTGTTGCAGAAGGTATATTAAGGCAACATACATTTACGAGACTTTTCTTAGAGGTAGAATTGACATTTTTCGTGAAATATTCCCTGAAAAAAAAAAAAAAAAAAGATTCCGAGAAAAAAATCACACCATAAAGGGGTTGGTGTAACTTGTAAGAATGAAACAAACGTTGGGGAGATTTTAATAATTACAGATAGATGGGGGTATTTTTCGTAATATTACCCTTATTTTATGGTAACAATGAAATCATTTTGTATGACGAATTTCATGGAATTTAAAATCTTAATCCCAGAAAATTCAATAGAACCAAATGCAAACCAAACACTGTCTTTTCACTTTTGCATGTATGCTCCAAAAAAAAAAAAAAAAAAAAGAAAGAAAAACAAAAAAAAAAGCCGAAAACTTGCCATTTTTAGCACTTTGTTACCCACAACAAGTTTCCATATTTGCCGCCGAAGTATGTTAATAGACACATCAAAACAAATGCTCAGTACAAAGACCAAACAAAGCAACATTGTTTAATTAATTACTAATTAATTCTTGAACTAACATTTATTCTGCAAATCATGTCTTGTTCCTCCAGTACATTCAATGACAAATTAAAAACATCGGTACAATAAAATCCGAAAAAACGAGTATCTAAAAACACAAGAAGCCGGATGCAGTGAAATCCGTCGTATTATTCGGAGAAAACAATTCTGAAGCTATACTCTATATGTATTATATATACGCAAACTAGTTTTAGATAGTTAGAATCAAGAACGATGACTAACCGAAGTTTGTTTTCGATTTTGTACGCGGTTTTGCTAGCATCCCTTGTGCTTAACTGCAGTTGTGATGAAAGAAAGGTGAGTCGGAAAATCAAATTTTTTCGATTTTTTTTTCGTTCTTCGTTTTCTCCTAAAATGAAATGTGTCACGTGCGTTGTACGTGTAGCTACATATAGTGTACATGGGGAATCTGCCTCAACGAGAAGGTTTATCGGTTGCATCGACACATCACACCATGCTGCAGAGTGTGCTCGGAAGGTTAGTATCGTAAAATCGTCACAATTAAACTAACGTACTCTTTTCGAATTGGCTGATGATTTATGTTTTATATTACATCTTGAAATTAAATCGTGTCTGATTTTTTGGCAGTGCTTTTTCGCCCAAGGAGTCGCTCGTCTATAGTTACGAAAGAAGCTTCAACGGATTTGCGGCAAAGCTTACCAACAAAGAAGCTACAAAAATTGCTAGTAATTACTAATTAGTCAATATATACATAGAAATTAAGGTACCTAATTCATATTAAATAAATAATGATCAAATTATTTAATTTAATGTTAGAAATGGAGGGAGTTGTTTCGGTTAAACCCAACCGAAAGGCGACCCTTCACACGACAAGATCTTGGGATTTCTCGGGATTGAGCCTAGGCAAAGCTGGAGCCTCCCAAGAAGGAGATATCATCATCGGACTACTCGATACCGGTGAATATATATATATATATATATATATTATGATCAGTTATTTGTACTTATTTTTCGAAGCAATAAATAAATAAATAAAATAATCGAGAATATTCTACAGGGGTATGGCCGGAGCATCCGAGTTTCAACGACACCGGTTACGGCCCTCCACCGGCCAAATGGAAGGGCACATGCCAAACTACAAATTTCACATGCAATAAGTATGTACAACAGTTATCAGTCAACCAACTATATATATACCGTCTTTCTAGAGTTTATTTATTGCATTCAGTACCCTGTATTATATCGAATTGTTAAAAAAAACTCCCTATGTTATTAATATTAGCGAATAAAAACCCTTATAATGCACTTTTTTTAGCACATAAGGGGTTTTTTGCTGATAAAATAACACGGGGAGTTTATATAGTAATTAGAGAAAACACTGGGGTGCCGAATGCAATAAATTAACCCGTCTTTTTTTACGAGGGATATTCAACATAATCTTCTTGCATTTCTTTCCTTTTGATCTGCGTGCAGCAAGATCATCGGTGCACGTTACTACAACAGCGAAGGATACTACGACGGCAACGAAATCCCGTCTCCAAGGGACACCGAAGGGCACGGGACGCACACATCATCGACCGCCGCCGGCATAGAGTTACCGGGGACGAGCTTTTACGGCTTAGCGGAGGGCGTGGCGAGGGGTGGGGCCCCCACTGCGAGAATCGCGGTTTACAAAGTGTGTTGGTCGTCCGGATGTGACGATGCGGACATCCTTAAAGCCTTTGACGACGCAATTGCCGACGGAGTTGATATTTTGTCGGTTTCGTTAGGAGCTAACTACTATATTTCTCATTATTTCGAGGACTCTATTGCGGTTGGATCTTTCCATGCAATGAGAAACGGGATTTTGACGTCGAACTCGGCCGGGAATGAGGGTCCCGATCCCGCTAGCGTCTCCAATAACGCGCCGTGGACGCTTACGGTCGCTGCCAGCACGATCGACAGAAAATTCGTCGCTAATTTGGTCCTCGGCAACGGCCAAATCTTGACAGTAAGTTCACAAGTCGCTCTCGAAGTATATATTCTAGGGGTTGAAACAGACATATCAGATCAGAATTAGCAACTTTTCAGAAAATTTATAATTTTTTTTCGAAAGTGCAAAATGAATTTCAATCCCGTTACAATAAAAAAAAAATCCAAAATTTCGAAAATTGGATTGAAAAAACTTGTTCCAAAATTGGAAAATTTCCGATCGGCAAAATTCGGAATTTTTAATATTCTAGTCACCTATAATTAAAAAAAATACATGATAAAATTGATTTTGAAGTGTAATATTTGGAAATTAAAATCAGACCGAAATCAAAATTAAATCGAAATCCAATATGTAATCCACTAATTATGTTCCAAAAAAATCGGAAAAACAATACTTTCGGAACTCGGAATGAATTTTTTTGTTCCAATTGCAAAATTGGAAATATCCGAATAGAAATAGGCGGAATTCCGAAATTCTATTCCAATTTCCACCTCTAATGCATCATCAATTATTATCTCTTTCTTAATTAGCAATTTCATCTTTGTTTTTTTCTTAAGGGAATAGCCATCAATACATTTAATCTCAATGGGACTTCATATCCTTTAATATGGGGAGGCGACGCGGTAAACTATACGTTCGGTTCGAGCCCCGATTACGCATGATACTGCGGAGAAGAAGATATCAACCACGACATGGTGGCCGGAAAAATAGTGCTCTGCGAAAGTATATCGCGTCATTCTCACGACATTCTATCCAACGGCACGGTCGGAATTGTTTTAGTGCAGTACATAACTGCCATAAATCCCGATTACGCCTTCAACTATCCACTACCGGCTACACTCATAAGTCCGGACGACGCCAAAAAGGCTATGGATTACATAAGATCCACAAAGTACGATTTATCTCGTCATTATGCATACGGGTATTAAATGCAATGAAGTCCGATACAAATTCCGATTGCCGTTTATTTTAATATTTTCACCCTTTTTTTTCCAAGATACCCCGCGGCGACAATTATGGTCGGCGAGACTTGGAAAGACGAGGTGGCGCCTAGGGTGGTTTCGTTTTCGTCTCGAGGGCCGAGCTCAATTAGCCCCGATATTCTCAAGGTGACCATATATATTCAAGAATTTCTTATCTTCAAACTTCATTTGTATTCAATTTTTACACCTCCCTAACTATATATATGTAATATATCAACGACTCAATGTATCGTGATGTAGCCGGATATTTCTGCACCGGGCGTGGATATTCTCGCCGGGTGGTCCCCACTATCCCCTCCTTCGTTTTACGACGAAGATACAAGGAGTGGATTTTTCAACGTCGTTTCGGGTACATCCATGGCTTGCCCCCACGCTAGTGCCACCGCCGCCTATGTTAAAGCCGCCCATCCCGATTGGTCTCCGGCCGCCATCAAGTCCGCAATAATGACATCAGGTTAATTAATTATATTAGATTGAACTAATTAATGCACCAATTAATTTACCCGTTATTTCTATGCTACACCTGGTGAAGACTACACCGGGTGATTTTTGGCGTAGAATAAACCTAACTTAACCTTAACCATTTATTTTTGGGCAAATTACAATCAACCCTAATGTATGGTCAATTTACAAAAAAAACACCTTGTTTGGATAATTACATCCCCTCAACTATGATTTTTTTCTTACACCACCACCCATATGGTGTCAAATTTAACATATTCATCTAGATTTTGTGGAATGTGCTCTAGTTTGTACTCGTTTTGTGTAAATATACAGTTTTTGATGCACCACAATCTGATATATACAAGCCAAAAAACACATATTATGATAATCTTGCTTCAAAATGTAGAGTTTGAATGAGATAAAGCGGGTACAAAAGTGATAATATTCCATTTAATCTCGAAGATTCCACTGAATTTGAAACCACAAGGGTGGACATGTAAGAAGATTTATAATTGAGGGGTGGTTATAATTACCCAAACAGAAGGGGAGTTTTCGTAATTTAACCATACCTCAGAGATGGTTGTAATTTACCCTTCCTTTTTTTTCCCTATTTTCTTCTAACACGAAAATATGGATAATGTTTCTTGAAATTGGACATGCAGCTTATGTAATGGATCCAACTAGACATCGCGATCTCGAGTTCGCATACGGGTCGGGTCATATCAACCCTACATCCGCGGTGGACCCCGGTCTAGTCTTCGATGCATCTGAAGCGGATTACGTCGACTTCTTCTGTAAACAGGGGTACAACACAACTACGGTGAGGCTAATAACAGGGGATAACAGCTCATGTGCCAGCACAACACTTGGTAGAGGTTGGGATCTCAACTACCCGTCGTTTTCGTTATATGTCGACGACGGGCAGGAGATTACTGGCACGTTCGTGAGAACCGTGACGAATGTGGGCCCGCCTAACTCGACCTACACCGCCACCTGGCAAATGCCGTCACTGGTCAGCGTCACCGTCGAACCGTCGGTTCTCGCGTTTTCGGACGTTGGAGAGAGAAAGTCGTTCACGGTGAAGGTCGTGGGGCCCGCGATTACTCAGCAGCCGATAGTATCGGGGGCGATTATATGGAGTGATGGAAGCCATTATGTAAGAACACCTCTTGTTGTGTACAACTACTACCCCGGTGCACCGTACACCAGCGATTCGGAGGATTCGAACTCCGTGCCACGGAATAACCGCAGGAATGGATTCATTGGGCACTAATGATTCTCCCATTGATGCAATTAGCCATCACTCGGCAATCGAAAAATAACACGTGTCCTCGGGAATTTATCCTTTGGAAAGAATAACTTATGTTTGTGCATGGTAGTAAGGAATTGCATAAATTAAACTTGAATAAATGGTAATATTTCCTTGTGAGAATCTTCTGACTAATTGGAATTCTTACTGAAGCAGAACTTCAATTTGTGTTCCCTATTGAGTCAGTGTTACTAATTTAATGATGGGAAAATCTAGCAACAAGTCTGGGTGGTGTAGTCGGTTATCACGCTAGTCTCACACACTAGAGGTCCCCGGTTCGAAACCGGGCTCAGACAATTTTTTAAATAAATATATATTTATTTTAAACATTTTTAACTTCTATATAACAGTAAGATAAATAATTGTTAAACATCAAGCTCACATGTCTGGGTGGTGTAGTCGGTTATCACGCTAGTCTCACACACTAGAGGTCCCCGGTTCGAACCCGGGCTCAGACATTCAGCTGAATTGTATTATTTTTTTAAATCAAGTTCTTGGAAGAAAAAACAAAATCTAACATTTTTTTTGAAGTTAAAAACTGATTCCAATTCCATTTTAAAGAAAGAGTAAATAGCACTTGACCCTTATGTGGTTTCACTATTTTGCACTTAACCCCCATGTGGTATCAATATAGGTGGATAACCCCCTCGTGGTTTATGATAAGTAGCTTTTGGTAATTTCAGTAACCAAAAGAGGTAAATGTCTGTTTTGCCCTTTTATTTATCTCATACTTGTTGTTTAGGTTTACTTCACTTGATAAACAATTAGGGCTCACATTATTTTATTATATGAAAATAACATAATGAACAAAATTTCATGTGTGATTGCGGAGTATTATATCCAAGCAAAACCTGGTGATGACAACTCCAACATAAGTTTTTTATTTTAATATACGTTTGTTGAATTTTTTTGTTATACATATTTTACTTTTTTATTTATTTATTGTCATTGTTCATCTGAATGTCCCAAAGATTTATTGTATAAAGGCGAAATTTTTATTTTACTTTTATCATTATATTTTGGCGGTAAAATAAAAAGACTTTGTTTCGAAATAATTTTAAAAATTAAAGAAAACAATAATTTCTAATTACCGAAAGCAATCCAAATACTTCTGCGTGCGTTAACATATCTTAGTAATTTATGTATTTTTCTTATTTTACTAAATCACATATTTTTTTGAACTGGCGTACTAAAGTTTGTTTAACTAGTAGTTTAAAGAAATTAGAAATGAGCATGAGTTTCATACAAGGAGGGCAACATGGGTATTTTTAGAAATTTATAGCTAGGAAAAACTCCACCACTTGCGAATTGGGCGAGTGATTTACACTCACTGTTGAATATCTTACGAAAGCTACTCATCACAAACCACAAGGGGGTTATCCGCCTATATTGATACCACATGGGGGTTAAGTGCAAAATAGAGAAACCACATGGGGGTCAAGTGCTATTTACCCTTAAAGAAAATTGGAAATCGTAATTCCGGAATTTTCATTGTCTTACCCCCGGCTAAAATATAAAATACATAGTAGTAATGGTATATAAGTGTAATTTTTTGAAACAAATAAATCCAAAACAGAATTTCCTAAAATTAAATCGGATCAGAAATAAGTATTTAATGTATTCCAATTTCGTTCTAAAAAAACCAAAAAAATTGAAATTGAAATTTGGGGACTATGAATAAAATTTATTGGTCCGAAATCGTGAATATTCACATCGAAATCGATGAAAATTCAAAAATTTCGTTCGAATTTCCATCTTACGAGCAACATTTCGGCCCATAAATTATTCCATTTGTATGTGCCCCATATGTTTGGTCTGACAAAACCACCAATCTCGTACTATAACTTGCAAATTATACGATATATGCAAAATATCAGTCAGAACATTTAATACCGTATTCTCTTACTCCACCAGTTAGATAAAATTTGTCGATATTGTACGTCGTGCATAGAACACGACGCCATACAGAACATGAAGACACTCTAATTACACTCCCCAAATTATGCCACTGTCTCAATAGATGTTTACATTCACATCAAAACAAAAATGTTAAGAGTACAATGCAATAAATTAAAGCAACATGTGTTTTACATTCTTGGACTAATAACAAAATCATCTCCAAAATTATGTCCTATTCCTCATTACATGACACTAACAAAACTTACAACTACAGTAGAACCTCGATAAATTAATAACATCGCTTAAATAATAGTTTCTTCTGGTCCCGACTTGGTAAAAACCTACTAAATTATTAGTTCGATAATTTAATATTTCGTTAAATTAATAAAATTTTCCTAGTCCCGACTCTATTAATTTATAGAGGTTTCACTGTATCTTTCTCTCTCCACTAATCGCGAAATTTACACGACGAGAATCTCAAAAACACATCCGATATTATATTACACGGAGAAAACAATTCTTAAGCCATACTATATATATAAATACTCGCAGTTTTAGATGACAAAAATAATAAGGTATCATTTTCTTATATAGCTTAAATTCTAGAATAATGAAAAATCCTACAATGTTTTCGATTTTGTACCCATTTTTGCTAGCAGCCCTTGTGCTTAACTGCCGCTGCGATGAAAGAATGGTATGTCGAAAAAACGTTACTACATATAATTGTTTTTGTTTGTGCTGAATTCTTGGCCTATTTTTACGACGTTTTTTTTACGTGTAGATACATGTAGTCTACATGGGAGATCTGCCTAAAGGAGGAGATTTATCGGTTTCATCGGCACATCACACAATGCTGCAGTCTGTTCTTGGAAGGTTTTTATTTGTTAATGGAGCTAATTAATTAAAACTTGCAGTAGATATATAATAACTTAATTGATATAATTAATCTTGGCTGATGTTTCCTTGCATCACAATCTTTTTTCCGATTTTTAAAGTGCTTCGTCAGCGACGGAGTCGCTCGTCTACAGTTACGAAAGAAGTTTCAACGGTTTTGCAGCCAAGCTCACCGTCAACGAAGCCGCAAGAATCGCACGTAAGACACAATATCGACACACATAAATTACATACATATTATGATGAATAATTGTGTGGTGTACTGTCAGAAATGGAAGGAGTGGTCTCCGTAAACCCTAGCCGGAAGCTAAAGCTCCACACGACAAGGTCGTGGGACTTCATGCGGTTTAGTGGAGCCAACCTCGGAGCTGGCCACGAAGGACACGTCATCATCGGACTCCTCGACACCGGTGAACAATCAATAAATAGACTCTATATATTGTGTTTTAAATTTCAATAAATCATCTAAAAAAAATTCTATTAGGCGTATGGCCGGAGCATCCGGGTTTCAATGACACCGGTTTCGGCCCGCCACCCCGTAAATGGAAGGGCACTTGCCAATCACCAACCAATTTCCCCTGCAATAAGTATGCATACATACATATATATGTATATATATATACACACAAAAACTTGTGACTAATGAAACCAAATTTATGGAATGATTTTTCGAAAATATTCTCGATGCAGTAAGCTCATCGGTGCACGTTACTACAACAGCGACAACATTTACGGCGACAACGAGATCCCGTCTCCACGAGACACGGAGGGACACGGGACCCACACGGCTACGACAGCTGGCGGCGTGGAGCTACCAGGAACGAGCTTTTTAGGCTTAGCGGAGGGTGTGGCGAGAGGTGGGGCCCCCGGTGCAAGAATTGCGGTGTACAAAGTGTGCTGGGCTTCGGGATGCGGTGATGCTGACATCATCAAAGCGTTCGATGATGCAATAGCCGACGGAGTCGACATCATCTCTGTTTCTTTGGGATCCGAATACCTCCTCGATTATTTCCAAGATCCTATTGCGATCGGATCTTTCCATGCAATGAAGAACGGGATTCTGACGTCGAACTCGGCCGGAAATGCGGGACCCGATCCCGTCACGGTTGCCAACTTTTCGCCGTGGACACTCACAGTTGCTGCTAGCACTATCGACAGAAAATTCGTCGCTAATTTAGTCTTAGGCAACGGACAAATCTTTACGGTAAGTAGGTTCTTATTTATTACATATAGTCAAATGTTGTTCTTATATCTATTTTTGAATAAGAACAAAAAAAAAATGTTGTCTGAAAAATGAAGGGAATCTCGATAAATACGTTTGATCTCAACGGAACGTCGTATCCCTTGATTTGGGGCGGAGATGCTGTGAACTACAGCGGCGGTTATAGTCAAGACGATGCGAAACTTTGTTCTCAAGAAACAATGAATGCCGACATGGCGGTTGGGAAAATAGTACTCTGCGAAGCCCTTACCGATGGATCCACTATTCTTCTTGCCAACGGTGTCGGAACCGTTATGGCGGACCAAGATTACGTAAATCCCGACTACGCCTTCAGTTATCCGTTACCGGCAACGCTCATAAGTCCAGTCGACGCCAAAAAGGTGATCGAATACATAAAATCCACTAGGTACGAAAAAACAATCCTTACAAAACAACAACTCAATAGTTGTCCAAATTTTAAGGTTGTCTTTTTTTTTTTTCTTTTTTTTTGCAGATATCCCGAGGCGACGATATTGGTTGGCGAAACATGGAAAGATCTGATGGGGCCGACAGTGGTTTCGTTTTCTTCGAGAGGACCAAATCCGATTAGCTCAGACATTCTCAAGGTGTGTGTTTTTTTCGACAGTTTTGAATTTTTCGTTTGTCAGGCATTAATATATTAACATATGTATATGTATATATATATAGCCTGATATTACAGCACCCGGAGTTGATATTCTGGCGGGGTGGTCACCGCTTTCGCCAACTTCGATATACGAAAACGACACGACGGGATTGTACTTCAACGTAATGTCGGGCACATCGATGTCCTGCCCACACGCAGCCGCTGCCGCGGCCTACGTTAAATCCGTCCACCCCGATTGGTCGCCTGCCGCCATCAAATCCGCCATCATGACAACAGGTCAACATAACACACACACACACACTCGAAAAAAACGAAAAGAGAAAAAAATGAACTAAAAAACTGATAAAAGAACATTTGATAAATGAATGAATCAGCTTATGCTATGGACCCGAGGAGAAATGCCGACAAAGAATTCGCCTACGGCTCGGGACATATTAACCCGACGGCTGCAGTGGACCCCGGTCTAGTATTCGATGCATCTGCAGCAGATTACATCAACTTACTCTGCAAACAAGGGTACAACATAACTACCCTGAGGGTGGTAACAGGGGATAACTCCACCTGTGCCAATACTACAATTGGAAGAGCATTGGATTTCAACTATCCAATACTTTCACTATATGTCGAAGATGGGGAGGAGATTACGGGAACGTTCACGAGAACTGTCACGAATGTGGGCCCGCCTGACTCGACCTACACCGCCATGTGGCAAACGCCGTCGCTGATTAGTGCGACGGTCGAACCGTCGGTTCTTGAGTTCTCGGCCGTTGGAGAGAGAAAGTCGTTCGCGGTGACGGTTGTGGGGCCCGCGATCACGCAGCAGCCGATTGTTTCGGGGGCGGTGACGTGGAGCGACGGGAGACGTTCGGTTAGGACACCTGTCGTGGTGTACAATTACTTCCGTGGTGCTCCTTACACTATCGAATCCGAAGATTATTCCAACTCCACGTAGAAATGAAACTATATATGCATTCATCAAAATAATCTCCAAATTTCGATTTTGGATGCAAATTATATGTTGTAATAATTCCGAGACCGAATCGTTATAGCACAGGTCGGAATATTCGGAATCTACGGCTCCAATATTATAATACTTTATTGCATTACAAATAGAATAAGGGGGCAACTATTTTGAATACTAACTTTTGCTTAGTTGAATACTACCTAGTTGAAAACCACAATTGAGTACATATTTTTAAGTTTTTTCTTACTTTAATACCAAAATAAAAATAAAAGTACAAAAATACCCTTTCATACAAAATACTAATTACATTAATTTTTCTTTGAAATTACCTATTTGAAAACCAAATAAAAAAAAAAAAAAAAGAAAAAAAAAATCAAACACAAAAAACTCCCTCCGTCAACCTCCCTCCGTCCACGCCGCCCGACGCCGCCGCCGCCGCTCCAACCATCGCCGCCGCCGGACGCCGACGCCAAACACCGCCTAACGCCGCCCACGCCGCCCAACGTCGCCCAAAGCCGCCGCCGTCGTCGTCTTCGAATAGTAAGTTATAGTTGTTTCGATTTTTTTTTTCTTTAATATTTATTTAAGATTTGAATGTTTGATATGGGTAATTAGGATTTGGTTGTTTTAGGTTAGAATGATCGTTAATTAGTAATGGGTGCATCTGATTTCAGTCGATTTGAGCATTGATTTGAGATTCGTGGGTCGGTTCTTCGTTCTCCATTTTCGACCTGTACATGTCGAATTTCGATGAATTTTCGACAGGTTGTTGTCGAAAATTCATCCAAAATCGACATGTAGATGTCGAAAATGGTGAAAATGTTGAGTTTGGATTTTGTAATTTTCGACAGTTAACTGTCGAAAATTACCCCATATTTCGACAGGTTTCTGTCGAATTTGAACTGTGAATTTTTTTTTTTTTTTTTTTTTTTTTTTTTTTTTTTCTTCCTATTTTTATTTGCTTGTGTTTATATTATGTATATTAATTTTTATTTGTGTGTTATTTTGCAGTGGAAGAACCACGTCAACCTCGTATACCTCCGACTGTCTCGAACCGTAAAAAGAGGAAGGAATTATCCGATAAAGGCAAGGGCATAGCAGTCACGACCAAGAAAAAGACCACGACCAAGAAGAAGTCTGGAGAGGGTTCTTCGTCAACGAATCCGGTGCCGGCTCTACATTCGACTGTACAAGTTGGTGATTCGAGCAATGAACCGGTCCTAGGTCCCGAGATACCGGAATTGTACACAAAATTTGATAAGCACATTGCTTATCATATTGTGAACGGAGGGCCAGATCGTTCGGAGCGCGGCTCAGAATTTCGAATACGAAATCACACAACAACTTTGAAAGGTTGGGAGCCGGCGCCGTTTATTAAAGAGGTAGTACAAAGATGTGGTTTAATGTCAGTTGTACAGGCATCGTACAACACTGTGGACGGCCATCTACTTAGAGCCTTCGTAGAGAGATGGCAGCCAGCTACCAACACATTTCACTTACCTGTTGGAGAGATGACCATCACACTTGACGATGTGAGTTCGTTGGTCGGTTTGCCAGTTGTTGGGCGTACCGTATCCTGCGAGCGTTTGGTCCGTGATTCCAAAACCATTCCCAGTACTTTGATGTTCCAGTTGCTAGGTGAGTACCCGGACGATGTAAACAAGAAGAAAGCGGTCAAGTTGGAATGGTTGAAGGCTAAATTTAGCAAAGTGACCATGAGAGATAGTGCGGAGAAGAGGACGTACGCCATTCGGGCGTATTTGTTATTTTTGCTCGGGTGTACTATACTATGCGACAAGACGGGCAATATGGTAAGCGTTGAGTACCTAAATCTTGTATCTGATTTGGATCGGATCGGCGAGTATGCTTGGGGCACTGCATGTCTTTGCCGGTTGTACGATGAGCTTTCCTCAGCCTCACAAAAATCAACGAACTCGATGGCTGGCTGGCTGACGCTCTTTCAGTCATGGATTTACGAGCACTTTCCTTATTTGGGGGGTGGCACATTGAAGACGGAATTCGAGGGGCCATTAGCGAGCCGATGGGAGCCTCAGTCAAAGACTACTTCAACGCCTGAACGAGCGTCGTACCTGCGATCTCGATTAGATGATTTGATCCCCGATCAGGTAACATACCAGTTTAATAATTTGTTATTACTACTTAAGTAGGTTTTTACATCTAATTTTTTATTTATTTTAATAGGTTATATGGTCACCGTATACGGCTATTCGTGATCGTTTCCCGATGCCAGATTCTGCTTGGTTTAGTGGGATGATATGTTGCATGGACCACTTCGAGGCATATCATCCGGACAGAGTGTTGAGGCAGTTCAACCGGGTGCAAATCATTCCAGGTCGTGCATACATGTCAAAAGATATGTACAAAGCTCTAGTTAGCAAAGGTCGACCGGTCCAGAACTCAATTTTCGTTGCGTACGGCGAACGATTCTCTGATCGGTGGGAGGAGTATTGTCTGGACGAGGAGTCGAGGTCCGTTGAAATTGAACTCGGGGAGGCGGACACTTCGCCGGACTACATGAATTGGTTCCGACCCAGATGCATGTTACAACTGAGTAGGCATGGAGCCCATCCTCCTCGACCCCAGGCGGATCGACCTCGACCCCATGAAGCTCGTCCAGAGGGTGGTACCGATAAGGAGGTCCAACTTTCACAAATTTTGGAGTTGGTGAAGGGTACACTTAGCGAGGTGCGGGGACTTGCGCCATCCGACGCTCATACGGTCATGTGGGGGACCCTAAATGATATTGTCAGATTGATCGAGCCGGATGCCCCACTTCCACCTCCTTCGAGGTCGTCGATAGGGCCACTTCCACCGCCATCGAGCTCGTCCGATGCCCCACAGGCGGTTCTGAAACACGTCGTCCGATGCCCCACAGGCGGTAGGATTAGTCTTGTATTTTTTTAGATGGATGTTGTTTTATGACTTGTATTTTTTTAGATGGATGTTGTTTGTTGGATTTTATGCTGTATACATTTTTTTTTTTTTAAAAAATTGCAAATTTTTTTTTTTTTTTTGTCCAAAAATACTTACATGTGTTTTTTATGTTACATTGCAATATATTTGGGGTTTAAAAAAAAAACATAGTTTTTTCAAATAAAAACCCAACACTTAATAACATTGAATGTATCACCAGTAACTTTACATATTTATGTTGGGAGAACTATCACCATTGTCTGATATAGTAATAATCTCGAAACTCTCTCGCGTGGCAACATTTTGACCTATTAATTCTCGAAATGCTGTAATCCGACCATCCATTTCTGCAGGCTTCCAACCATCAGCTTTAGGATCATGACACCGGTACCAATAATCGGCGATAGGAGGTATTGGACAATTCTTGTTCAATACAACATGCACGAAGTGACAGTTGTCGACGAATGCCATACCGTGCTCTTGCCTCTCGCTGAAAAGCTTTGGATCGCTCAATAGGGGAAGGAACGTGAGACACTGATACTTGGATAAGTAGACAAGCACAATATTGTATGTTGAAGCAATTACATGACCCATATTTGGCAAAGACATCCAATGATCACGAGTTGCAGGAACATCCCAGTTACTCACAATAGCTTGCATGCTTCTAACGGTTTCTTCGCCACGGTGCATGGTCGTGTAAGTGGAAAAATTAGAAGTCAACTCCCGTAGCATGTCATCTCGCACTCGACCCCATTCATCTTCTCCAAATCCCATCATAGAGGCAACTGCCCGAAATCCACAGTGTCCATCTGAACCGACATTGATGATTTCTCGAACGTGCATACGAAATCGTGGATGGATCGTGTCAATGTACTTATTCTTGCCGATCAAACCTGGTGGCAATCCCACATCTGCATCTTCAAATAATGGTTTGACCGACTCTTGTGTCGGTATAGTGCTTTTTCCTGACTCTTGAGTTGGTATAGTGTTGAAAGAATCATTCGAATGCCCTCGTAATCTCATCAGTACAGGTATAAGCTGCAGTATATTACATTTCATTACTACTCAGCACAATTATAAAATACAACTTCAATGAAATGAGACGATAGTAGCGACATTTACCTTTGGAGAACAACTAGCTTGCTTCGATTTTTTTTTCTTTGGCTCCACATACTCAAAATGTGATTTGTCCCGAGTGCTTGATTTGTCTTTCCTACTTTTTGCCGGTCGACCTTTGCTAACAACTTTTTCACTTGGCTCCGTAAGGTTAGTCTTCTCTGGGTGGGTAAAATGTCTCAAATGGTTGCGCAATCGAGTTTTTGCATCGAGATCGGCACATTCAAAGAGCTTCTGGTATTCCGATAATTCTTCGTCGATGGTTGGTAGGATGACTTGGCCTGTGGTCGCGACGGGCTCCATACTCATGTGTTTCCAATACGAGCCTATTAACTCAAGTGGGATAGGACATTTGTTCACAACAACATACTCATGAAGTTCATGGCGACATGGTAGACTGTGGGTTGTTCGGATGGCGCAACTACAACCCATATCGCTCGGTTGCAATAGTTTCGCATTGTCCACCTCAACTTTGAGTAGTTGCAGAGCGTATTTTGAGATACTTCCACGAAGCTCATTGTATATCAACGTTTTGAAACTGTGCTCGTAAGTATTTTTACTTACTTCAAAGGAAGCCTTGATGTCATTGTGTTGTTCGACAATTTGATTGTGGACTTTCGTATACAAATCCACAAATGTGCCAGTTGAATTACGCACATCCCTTTTCATTCGTCCGTGTGCCCCCTCCACCCTATTAGAAGTGTACGTTCCAAAATGAGTATACTTATTTGTCCACACCGATACAAGTCTCTCCTTGTACGGATCCAACCATGAATTAGCTACATACTCTATAGCCGGGAGATAACCAATAAATGTTCTTTTCAAATCCTCCCAATCCTCATTGAACTCCTCTATGGTATTTCTTTCAATAAGAGCCGAAAAACTCGACTGAAATTGCTTCCATTTGGTGATGTCCTTTGGGAACAATTTCTTACAATTGGCCACTATATTCTTGTTCACATGCCACCGACACAGCAAGTGATGACTCGATGGATACACATTGGCCACTGCTTTCATTAAACCCAAATCTCGATCTGTTACAATGCAATTAGGCCGAGGACAACTGGTCATGGCCTCCTTCAAACAACGCAACGCTCATTCAAAATTTTCCGTCTTTTCGTGGTCCAAGTAAGCAAAGGCAATTGAGAACGTCTTGTTGGTACAAGTAAAACCCACAATCTCAAGAAATGGGAGTCCGTAACGATTGGTCTTGTACGTGCAATCGATGACGAATACGTACGGATACGACTGTGCCAACTTAATGCATTTCGGGTGGATCCAAAACAAGTCGGTAATCGCATTCAACTCGTTCGATCTATGGTACGAGAGGTATTCATCTTCTTTCAACTTGACAAACAATGATTGCAATTGAGATCTCCCATCCAATTCACTGAAATTTAACTTAGAGATAGTATTGTAAACTGTCTTCATACCAGTTACATTAGACGGGTCCTTTTGCTTCAATGCTCTTAGAATTGCCCTTGGTTTCACCATTGCTTTCTTCATAGTGTGAACAAAGGAAACATCCTCCTTTGATAATCTTCCGGCATAAGAGTGTCCGTGCAAGTTTTCGAATAAGTTGTGGTTGTGAATACCACAACTAACATCCAATTTCCACTCAGCCTTTTCATCATCCTTGTGTTCCCTTGTCCCCTTCAATTTAAACGGACAATTGCATTTCTTTGAACCGGTGCTCCTTTTTCCCGGTCTTTGATCATCTTCACCTGGTACCTTCTTGCCAACATAATGGCCCCCACGCTCACAACGAACAATCACATACGGTGTCCTACGTCCTCTATCCCCGTCACTCGAACCCCCAATCATTAACACCATTCCAATTCTTTTACATACTTCACGAACCCATGCCATTAAAGCTTCTTTTGTTGGGAATTTTTCTGACGTGGTAAATGAATGGGTGCAATCGATCTACACAAAAGTGTCGAAAATATAAGACAAGTCAATTTGCAACAGGAACCAAATCGACACTTAAGTGTCGAATTATGATGCAATTTTCGACACTTAAGAGTCGAAATTTTGGGTAATTTTCGACACCTAGGTGTCGAATTCTAATGGTAGTTTCGACACATACATGTCGAAAAATAGGTGTATTTTCGACCTGTATGTGTCGAAAATACATGGCGAGCTTTAAAAAAAAAACAATTCAAAATCGATGTTTTAGCTCAAAAAATACATGAATACATACCTGAATGGGTTCTCCTTGCTCGTAAACTACCATTCTATTGTCATTTGAGGCCATTTTGCAAGTTGTGTAAGGTTTTGATTTCTTTTGTTTTGGGGTTTTTTAGGAGGGTTTTGGGGAGGGAGAAGAAGGAGGTGGAGGAGGTGAGGGGTTTGGGAGTGAGGAGGGAAATGTTTTTTTTAGGTTTTTGATTATTTGGTTTTTAAGAAAGAAAAATAGTATTTGTAATATTATTTGGTTTTAATTTTCATTAAGGGTATTAAAGTAATTTACAATTAATTATTTAATTTCTATTTTTTTGGTATTCAACTAAGCAAAAGTTAGTATTCAAAATAGTTGTTCCCATAGAATAAACCTTCTGCTTAGTAACATTAATCAATATCCATGCACAAATTTTATAAAATAAAATTATAAATTACAACTTCTGCGGTATGCTATCAATTAACATAAACATAGATATATTCAGCTTCAATATAACAATACACTATGTAGCAAGGACACAGAAACGGTGATATGAGGAAACGGGGAAACGGACACGGCAAAACGGCATGTCCCAAAAATGGGAATACGTGAGCTTGAAGGAAACGTGTAAATATTAAAAATACAGGGGTATATTTATAAATATGATATATAAACATTTCTAAGTTTTTATTTATATATAATTTTTTTTTTCATACAAACATATTCAAAATATATTTTACTATCAATTTGAAATTGATCATTAAATGGTGTAAATAATTAAGGAAGTATGAATTTTTGAAAAATTACAAAATGACCCATAAAGTGTCCGGCAGGTGTATTCGAGTTTCGGATACAAAAACGTTTCCGAAACACTGAAACGTTCGGATGTTTAAGTTTCCGTGTTACATAGACAGTACATATTCAACACAATTATATAATCATATATAATACCATCATAAGAATTAGGGTAAATTACGTCCCCGCCTCCTGAGGTATGCTGAAATTACGAAAACCCCCCTCACGTTTGGGGTTATTACAATCACCACCTCATCTATGTATTTTCTTAGTCGTCCAACCTTACAATATCAAATTTACCTATGAGGGTTTTTTTTCGTAAAACAATTAATACTTAAAGGGGTGATTGTAATTATCCAAACAAGAGGGGTATTTTCGTAATTTGAGCTTAATCTCAGGGGGTGTGGCCGTAATTTGGCCTAAGAATTATATATATAATATTAATATATATGAACCTAAGTGAAGGATTACTGAATTATTGATGAAGCATAGTAATTTGTCTGCTACTGCAGCTGATCGAAGATATCAAAGCATGCTCAAAACAAACACCTGAAAACAAGAAATCCACAAAGCATTAAAAAAAAAAAAAAAAAAAACATTATTTGACATTGTGAAAAACAGTCCAATGTTTATTGTTTGTCACAAAATGCTGCAAAATGTATTCGGACAAGAGATGGCATTATCGAGAACGATGCGGAGAAAACAATCGAACAACGGTAGCTAACCCTATATATAAACACCAAGCCTCAGCAAAATGGATCCACATTTAGTTAATTTAACAAAGTTATTCGTAATGGCGAAAGTCGGCTTACTTTCGCTTCTCTATCCTTTACTTCTTTCCATCCTCGTGCTCAACTGCCACTGCCTAGAACGAAAGGTACGTACGCCATGCGTGCGTACTCTCTCTCTCTCTCTCTCTCTCTCTCTCTCTCAAACAGAGATTTTTCTAAGGGTTTTTATTGTCTTTTCAGCTCCATGTTGTCTACATGGGAGACCGGTCTCACGAAGACGAATCGGTTGCAACCAAACATCACTCCATGTTGCATAGAGTCCTCGGCAGGTTGCTATATGTGTGTGTGTGTGTGTGTGTGTGTATGGCTTATGATTGTTGGCCTAATCGAAACAGAAGATCGACACAATAATATAACTAGCATGCTTTTTTAGTAGTAACTCTATATATACAACTCCCAAAATTCATTTTTCGCAATCGAGAAATTAAAATGGATACATTGGTTAAAACATGACAGTTATTACTGATAAATGATGATTCTGTTTCGGTTTCGGTTTCGGTTTTCGGTTTTCGGGTTTCGGGTTTCGGCTTCGGTTTCGATTTTGGTTTCCTTCACTACTTGAAAAACCTCAATCTTGATTATTTTCTAATATCTAAATATTGGAAACACCGTCTACATTTTCGTGATTCCAGTGCTTCGGCGGCCAAAGACTCGTTGGTTTACAGTTACGGAAAAAGTTTTAACGGATTCGCAGCAAAGCTAACACAGGAGGAAGCATCAAGAATTTCAGGTGAGAGACAGTCTCGAAAGCCACGAAAAATCGAACAATAATAATTATTACGTACTTCGTATTATAGCCAAAAACAAAATAACCCCTTGTGTTTTTTTTTCATTTTGCTTTAGATATGGATGGAGTGATCTCGGTGAATCCGAGCCGTACATACAAGCTCCACACCACCAGATCTTGGGACTTCGTCAACCTAACCATCGACAAAGTCGGAGCACCACAAGAATCCGATGTCGTCATCGGCCTCCTAGACACGGGTAACATATATATATATATATATAAATACATATATTTTTTGTTCTTACATTTAATCCGATGTCGTTAGTCTTACATTTTGTTCTGTCTGTATTTCGTAGGAATCTGGCCCGAGCATCCGAGTTTCAACGACACGGGTTTCGGTCCTCCTCCGTCGAAATGGAAGGGTACCTGCACAAACACAAATTTCACCTGCAATAAGTAAAAACACACTCCCTCATTTAAAAAAAAAAAAATCCGATTTTTTCCGGTGTAAGAATTATACGATTATACGATATCGCATTGCAGCAAGATCATCGGAGCACGTTACTACAACAGCGAAAACGAGTACTACCAAGGAGACATCCCATCTCCGAGAGACTCCGAAGGACACGGGACCCACACGGCCTCGACCGCCTCGGGAATCGAGGCGGACGCGAGCTACTTCGGTCTAGCTAAAGGCGTAGCCAGAGGAGGCGTGCCGAGTTCGAGAATCGCGGTCTACAAAGTTTGCTGGTCGTCCGGTTGCGGTTCCGCAGACATCCTTAAAGCCTTCGATGATGCAATAGCGGACGGAGTCGATATCATATCCGTTTCTTTAGGATCCGAGTGGCCCATGGATTACTTTGACGACCCGATCGCGATCGGATCTTTCCATGCTATGAAAAACGGAATCTTGACCGCCAACTCAGCGGGAAACTCCGGCCCTTCCCCTGTTTCCGTCGCCAACTATTCTCCTTGGACACTCACCGTGGCTGCAAGCTCGATCGACAGAAAATTCGTCGCTAAAATGGAACTCGGAAACGGTCAAATCTTCACCGTGAGTTTCGAAAACTTACTCCTTAAGCATTATTCGATATTATCAAATCTTTCTATTTTCTAAAAAAAAAAAAATTGAATCGCGGTTTAAATGAAAGGGGATCACTATCAACACGTTTGATTTGAACGGGACATCGTACCCTCTAATATGGGGCGGAGATGCTGCGAACTACACCATCGGCTCGAGTCCCGATATCGCGAGACTTTGCTTACCTGGCGCTATGAGTTCCGATATAGTGTCGGGAAAAATCGTTTTCTGTGAAGCTCTTTGGGATGGTTCCGGAATTCTTATGGCTAACGGCGTGGGGACGATAATGTCCGACGTCAATTTCGTAAATCCCGATGTCGCCTTTAGCTGGCCGTTACCGACAACAATTATCAGCCCGGAAAATGGCCGAGCTGTCCTCGAATACATCAGAAGCACAGAGTAAGTCGCTCTTTTTTTTTTCTTACTATATAATCTCGAAGAAGTTATAACGAACACGAGATGAATTTTTTTAATTTTTTTTTCAGGAATCCTACGGCAACGATTTTCGTTACGGACGCATGGAAAGACGTTATGGCTCCGATGGTTGCGTCGTTTTCTTCGAGAGGACCGAGCCCCATCTCCCCCGACATTCTCAAGGTATAATCGAGAAAATTTCATTTTGTTTCGTTTCGTCGTCAGTATATTTCTTTGTCTTGACATTAATTTAACATTTCGAGTTTGTGATGAACACCGACCAGCCGGATATTACAGCACCCGGTGTGGATATTCTTGCCGGGTGGTCCCCACTTTCACCGTCGTCGGTCTACTACGGCGACACACGGAGCACGCTCTACAATATCATTTCAGGCACATCCATGTCTTGTCCGCATGTCAGTGGCGCTGCCGCCTACGTCAAAGCTGTTCACCCGAACTGGTCGCCTGCCGCCATCAAATCCGCCCTCATGACAACAGGTGAAAGAAAAAAAAAATAAAGAAGGATGTGATAAATGTCGTTTCAGATTTAATAATACCGTTTTGACTTCAAACGTGCTGAATTTGGAAAAACTGAAAACACGGAATTTGTAGTTCTTTGAGTTAGCTTTCTAATTCATTTTGAATCACTAAAATTGGATGTCGCATGAGAAAGATATGCATCAATCAATGAACACTGCCCACAACCTGATATTTTGAGTTATCTAAAATTCAAAACGTAACTCGTTCAGGCATAATTTTGTCACCCGACATCCAATTTAGCGGATTCAGTTTGAATTAAAAAAAAAAAAAAAAAACCCTATCTCAAAGGACTACGGTTTCCGCGTTTCGCATTTTGCCAAAATCATAGTAGAAAATGGTCAAAATCACGTTGGAGGTCAAAACTGTATTAGTAAAATCGAAACGACATTTAACATTTTAGAAAAGAAAAAAATTTACACATGTTTCATGTTCATGACAAATTTACTTGATGATGACATCAGCTTACGTAATGGACCCCACAAAACACGAAGATCTCGAATTCGCATACGGTTCGGGTCAAATCAATCCAGTTGCTGCAAGAAACCCCGGTTTAGTATTCGACGCATCGGAAAAGGACTACATCAACTTCCTCTGCAAACAGGGCTACAACGCTTCGACCCTCGGTCTAGTCACGGGTGACAACAGCACCTGTGCCGGTACGACACCTGGCAGAGCATGGGATCTCAACTACCCGTCTTTCTCTCTCTACGTGTTAGACGGACAGCAGATTATGGGAACCTTCACCAGAACAGTTACAAATGTGGGAGCTGCGAATTCAACCTACAAAGCAACCTCGTACGTGCCGGAACTCATCGGTCTTGCAATCGAACCGTCTGTACTAACATTCTCGGAAGTTGGACAAACGCAGACGTTCACCGTGAAAGTGGCGGGACCCGCCATATCGCAGCAGCCGATCGTGTCTGGCGCAATCGTATGGACCGATGGATCCTATGTTGTCAGGACGCCAATTGTCGTCTACAATTACTTACCCGGAGCGCCTTACAATCTCGACACGGCTGCAGCAAATCCAACTCTGCAGCGTTCTTCGGTTTACAAGAAAGTTCAAAGCATTCGAAATAGCCAAACACGTCATTAGTTTCTTTAAAATGAAGCAACGATACTATGTTTCAAAAGTGACGGCAACAAATAAAGAGGCGGTTAAAAATTCCATGCCGCGCTCCGAGAATTGTACGTTGCGACGAGAATATTAAATAACACCGTTGCCTACTTCTAGAACATACTACCATCAAAGTTTCTTCGTTTTTTGCGTTCTTTGCATTTATGTGTGTTGAATATGCTATACGATTAAAGTACGTATTGGCGCCCGATCTCCTACAATTTAGCTTCGAATAAAAAAAAAAGTATTATATAACTATGCTTTAGTTTTTAACTGTAATAAAAATTATGAATGAACTATTTATGCGAATAAACTCGAAACCAACTAATCTAATGGAATACTATATAAAACGGTAAACTAAATCGTGAGATTTTCTTGAATCCCGGAAAAAGTTCCGATGATTTTGCCGCCCATATCCGGAAACGTTTCGCAGCCAGGGAGAGGCATAACCCTTCCCATTTTATCTACATGCACAGGATATTTGAGTAAGTGTCCTCTCATTGGACTCGTATTTTCGTTCGACTCGAATTGATGCCAATTCAACTCGCCCATCCATTTCACACGTCTCACGCATTCGACGCTTTGTGGTTCCTCAAAGCAGTGCTCCAACGTACCCGTATGCTCGGTCCATAGCGACATTCTATATCCATATATCTACACCATAAAAACAACTTTGTCATATATATGTATATAGATGATTAATCGATAGTCTTAAAGAAAATCAAGAATATAATAGATGTTCTTATAGACGAATGAGTCGATCCCGTTTGCAATCAAGAAAAATAGTACTGAGAGCCCGACAATTATAAAATAGTATATTTTTGGAAGAGCGCTTATGCTGGAAATCGGACTGATCGGACCGGAATTAACAATTTTGAAAAATTTCTAGGTATTTTTTCAAAATGAAAAACTAATTTCAATTTGATTCCAAAAAAAAAATGGGAAATCGGAATTTTGAAAATTGGAATAGAAAAACCAGTTCAAAATTCGGAATTTTCGGATTGGAAACGGCGGAATTCTTAAGTTTTTTATTTCTTTAGCTATCTACAACATAAAATACATAATATTGATCTTATAACTGCAAATTTTTGGCGGGAAATTGGAATTTTGAAAATATTTTCGAAAACTAAAATTGGATAGAAAATATGAATCTAACATGCATTCCAATTTTGTTCAAAAAACCAAAATTAGAAAAATCAGTATTCTGAATGAAAAAAAGGTTCCAAAATAATAAATATCCGAATCGGAATCAGCGGATTCAAAAAAATCGTCCAATTTCCACCCCTATATATTTGAAAAATGTTTCAATACCTGTGCATGTGGATTAGCATGTTTGCTTGCCCACGTGTAATGAGGCTGATATGCCCCGATGGCAATTTCGGTATCTCTAGTACCTTCTAGAGAGCGTTGATTGATGTTAGCGGACCCCAATATCACGTACTCGTCGTCCACTATCATTCCCTTTGAATGGACGTATATCATAAAACGTCTATTTCTTCGAGTCAAGGCCTGAATACATACATACATATAGTGTGAACACATTCAAAAACTTCAAACATGTCAAAATCAACAAGACTAATCATAAGCAAGGTTCGAAAAACGTACTTGTGGAGTGCATCCGTTGGAACTTTTGGTGTTCGATGGTTGCTCGCTTCCACTATAATCGGGCGGCTCACGATTTCCGAGGCAAAAGAAATTCAAATAGTCTTGTGGCTCGTACTCCGAGTCGAGCCCTACCTCCACTAAAGCTTTGTAGATTGTTTCATACATCATTTGCATTGTGTGATACTGCAAGAAACAATTCTAATTGTTCATTTTCAAAACGACGGGGGCCATGGCCCCCTGAAGGCCTATGCTGGCTCCGCCACTGAATCAAATAAAATGAAAACAAAACCTGGATAAAAGTTGTTAAATTAGTGAGGATGTAGGGCCCACCTGCCAAAAGAGAATTCTTTGAGTGGGAGTGCTCGTGGGAACTCCCTCCGGCCACATTGGGATGATAATATACACGGCAAATCTCTCATTTGCCCTAATTTTGCTCGCAACCTTTAGTGCTATTTCCATCGGAATTAAATTGTTTGCACCTAAACAATAAGAAGTCGATGAGAAAATAAAAACACAAACGAATTTAAAAAGTTTTATATAAATATAACAATTCGATTCCTCACCTAAGTCCCTATAATTAGCCCAATTGTACGACGAACCGAGGAAGTACTGGTTCTCGATGTAAATGAAGTGTTGAGCACAACGGATTGCCTTGACGTAAGCTGCATGTATACTCATGTCTATCAATACATTCTTCCCACATACGAGGTTCTGTTCAATGCAGCCAAGTTTTATTTTCTTCTTAAAAACTCGTTTATTACAATAACGATAAAATGTAAGATATATACGAAGACTTTACTAATTAGATATCGTTTACCTTGCTTGAAGCCTGTTTCGGATTCTTGGGGAAACCTCTAACCGAGTTCGAGTCGATGGAACGGAAAACCTTATAAATTTTTGAAATAAATTTTAGCCCCGGAAATCGGAATTATAAAAAATATATATAAAATATTTATATATATATATACCTGAACATTCCATGTTTCTGGATCACCTGCCCTTACGGTGGCAGCTTCGGTAATTCCCATCATATCGGGAATTCTTTCGCACCTGAGCAAAGAATCGTCGTGCGAACTTCTCCTTTTGTGGGGGCCGTGTCGTTTCGAAGCCTTAAGCCAACGCTCTTCGAAGTTCTTCAGCACATCGTAAGCAGCTGGACCGTCGATTCTACAGTGTAGATCATGCCACGGTTCTCGTGGACAGCCTGTGGTGGGCCCCTTTTTTTTTCCATTAAATTTATATTAAGAAATGATTATATTTGCATATATTTATTAGTTGCCAAGAAAAATAAATTAATGAAAGGAAATTAAATTAATACCATGAAATTGGGATTATGATAGTCATCTTTGTGAACAGTTTCAAGTGTGCTGAAAATCGGGTGGTGTGGCGTGTCGTATCTTCCCTTGCATAAGTCGAGACCTCCCACAAATGCTACGATGCTTCTTCCGTAATCACCGGCCGCTACATCTACGATCACACTTTTTTGGTGATGAGTGTATATTGTTCCTGTTTCCTGATTAAATAAAAGAAAGAAAATATATAAGATTGCAGTTGAATTGAATAATTAAGCAAACTTGCAATTTTACTACTACCGTTCCGACTTCGAATGTGATTTTGACCCATTTTCAGTCCGAATTTGGCAAAAGTCGAAACACCAAAGTTATAGCTTTAAAGTTGACTTTCTAATACAAGTTGAATCAGGTCGATTGGATGTTAGATGAGAGAGTTATGCATGAATGAGTTACTGTCCGATTTTGTGGGAAATTCAAAATGTCGAAGTTGTAGTCATTGTTCATTCATTCATGAATTTAACTGATTCAACTTGATTTAGAAAGTTAATTCAAAGGACTGCAAGTTCAATATTTTGAGTTTTGCTAAATTCATACTGAAAAGGAGTAAAAATCGCGTTTGTAGTAAGAAACAGTATCAGTAAAATTGAAACGACGTTTAGCACCTCCCGCAAGTAGAGAGTCTTCCTTTCAGGCAAAATATTTTGTAACTTTTGGCATGCATTAAAGAATATAGAAACACGCAACACCCTGTTGCCGAGATCAAAATCGAACCTGCTTTTTGGCCCAGCTACCTTTCCCAGCAATCCGTGGACACAACAGCACTTTCACACACGAATGCTTGAAATAACGTCGTGTTTCATCGTCTCCCGTATTCATTACACCTTCCTAAATATATATTTTTTTTTAAATCATAATTTTTTTCGAAAAAGTAAGGAAAAATGCGCCAAAAAAAAAAGAAACCAAAATAGAGACGGTTCTTACAGTTTTATACCCTAAAATGCTCGTAGAGGTAGGATCATCCCACACGAGTAGCAAAACCCGAACACCTTCTTGAGACTTCGCTTTCAAAATCTCCCCCAAGCTACTATTCCTCACACGAACATCGTCCCTAACAAGTTGCACCAAGTGATAAACGGACCACCCCGTTATATAAACCAATCTACGAGCCTGCGATATCGCATCGTATATATCGCGCCAGCACATTGCGTGCCTATACTCCTCCCCGTTCGCCAATACCAAACTCGGAATACAACCTTCCGGAACATGCGCGTCTTGATACAGCGTCACACTCCCGCCCCTCCTCATCGGAAAGTAAGTCCCGGAAACGCCCTGATTCAAAAGATCCGACCCGACCCCACCCTGATAAACCGGCACTTTATCGATCGGCACGTACTGAACCGACAAGCTCAGAACCGCGCCCGGATTGCACGGCTTCCGGTTCGCGCCTAGAATCGGATAAGTGCCGTCGATCCTCGACCCGGAGACCAACCGCTCCGCGGCGAACGCGACGACGCCCATGATCTCGGACCCCACGATGTCGTTGTCCTTGACGACGAACTGCACTTCCGTGCCGTAATGCGCGACCGGCACGTGGAAATGCTGACCCCAGAACGGGTTCTCGTTGTCCTTGATGACGAAGGTACGGGCGATCACGGCTCCCGATATCGCGATCGTCACGTAAGGGTCGCTGGTCTGTAGCTTCCCGGACAAGGAACCGATTATGTCGCCGATGCTGTTGTTTACGAGATCCATGTTCGGTAGATTCTTGGCTTCCTTCACCCAAACGTCGAGATTGCCGTGTAGTAAAATCGGCCGTGACGAAGCTGTGGTTGTCTTGAAGGGGACAAACTGCATGCCCTGGCTGTGCTGTGAGCCCTCAGACATTGAATCGTAATGGTACATTTGAGCCATGCTTAAGTGATTTTTTCTTTCTTCCTCTGTAGTTATTTTTGTTTCAATAATGCTTACATTTTCTTGAAAAAATCGACAACAGTGATCAAGATTCAATTTTTATCGTACAATTAGGGCTGAAATAGCTCTGCATTTCAATTTTCAGACAGGAAAAATATGTGGGTTGTGATCAAGAATCAAGAATCAAGAATCAAGCATCAAGATGCAGGACAAACTAAATTCAAGAAAAATGGGACGATTGGATGAAAAAATGGCAATTTTCTGTACATGATTAAATTTGATATAATTAGATGAGAATAGATTAAGGCCAAGAGAAGAAGTTCAAGTGATGGGAGCGCCGTTGTTGTTGGAAAATTTTTAGTACATGCAAACAACGGAAAATTAGATGCTACACCCAATTATTACGTCGAGATGATATTAAATTGTTAATTATTATTGTATATTTGTGAGATTATAATTTAGGGAAATTTTCAATAGCCACGTGAGTGCTTAAGTCCAATAATATTTGTTTTGGATGAAATTACTCCCAACTATTTTAATATATATATGGGTGGAAATCGAACAAACGAAACAGATCGCAAAAAGCTTTTTCGGAAATTTTCCATTTTTATCGAGAGTTAAAAATGGCTATTATGATTTTCGCCAACAGTATAATATTATTGTTATTACATTTTGATTAACAGTATAATCGCGGTGGTCAACCGAAAAATAGTAGGAAAAAAAATTAAAAACATATAAAAATTTAGTGTTGATGTGTTGACCGATCAAAAACATGCAATAGGTTTTTCCTTTTTTACCCTCAACAATATCGTAATTTACCCTAATAATTGGTTGTTGTGTATCTACCGTTTATGTATCTATACGCATTGACTACAAACCTCCTCGCGCTCGTGCAACAAACCTGCAAACCGTACGAGAAGCGTAAATTGCTCACAATTAAAGATAAAAAAAAACAATTAGTCACCATTTCATTCAATTTCTATTGTAAGGAGTTAAAAGGTAGAATCTTGATATACAAAAACCTAGTAAAAAGTATTTGTATATAATAATAATAATGGATTAATAATTCTCTCATCTCTTGCGCTTCGACTTGAGCGACGTGGCGGACTGCGATTGGCTGTGCCAGTTCCTCTTCCTCTGGTTGATGAACCAGTTGTTTATTTGCTTCAGCTGCAGCCCCGTCTGCTCCACCAGCTTCGCCTTGTCGTCTTCCTGCATAACATATATTCCGATTAATTTTTATTTTATAACTATAAATAATTACCGCATAATAATATTTAATTTAAATTTGTTTTATTATTTAGGAAAATTCGTAATTCGTACCGTTGGATAAGGCCACTTCGAATGCTGCTGCCACCAATCTTTCAGCACGCTAGTTGTGTCGCCGGGCAATTTTCCGGCCCTTCTTTTTCTTAGTATTTCCTCTCTCACGTCTTCGATTTTCGACTTAAATCCCTGCAAACGACAAATGTTTCTTTAGTATATGTATATATCTTAAATTAAATTATTATGTTTCGATATTTATATTTCGGATGAAAATTTACCTGTTTAAGCTCGATTTTCAGTTCCTGTCTAACTCGTTCCATTAAAGACCTCTCCGATTCTGTAGGAAGCAACGGGCCGAAGCCCATTAGGTCATTATCGTTAGCTAAAGATTGATCCAACGAGAAATCCATTTGCAGCTCTTCTTCGTCGTCCGACATTGTTGCACCGTTTCCTTCTTCAAGTGTCACTCCTTAATTAAAATTACAAAAAGAAAAAAAAAAAAAAAAAAAAAAAAGCATACTTTTAAGTTATACTCTTGCATAGGGGTGTAAATCGGACAAATATCAGATCGGAATTAGCCCTTACGGAAAAAATCCGATTTTTTCAAAAGTGAAAAACTAGTTCCACTTTTCGTTCCAAAATTATTGGAAAAAAATCGAAAATTGGAAAAATAAAAAAATTGTTCGAAAATCAGAAACTTTCAGAAAGGAATCATATAAAAGGCAAATAACATTGGTATTTTTAATCGTCATATTCGAAAGAAAGAAAAATCGGAATTTTTGGAACATTAATCAGATTGGAAATCGGAATCTCATATATATTCCAATTTCGATCCAAATAATTTCGGAATCCGCATTGAAAAATATTGTTCCAAAATCGAAAAAATTTGGATCGCAATCCTCAGAAATTGAAAGTTTCGTTCCAATCCCCACCCCTACTCATGCATGATTAAAACTAATGAGGCCTTTAATTTTCTCGGTAATTAGTTAACACGATACAAAACGAAGCAATCGAAATCTCAACGATAAGAAGAATATAAGTATATTCCGATAAATTAAAATCACTGTAATCGGTTGTTGGCAAAAAATGCAGCATCATTAATTTCTTGGTTAAATTTCAATTAATACTCATATTAATTAATATTTACTCCATCACCCAACTAACTAAACAAACTCACTCCTAACTTTAATTGATCCCACCATATATATATACATACCAACAACCTGCTGTTGTACCTTCTTCACACACTTACCTTAAAATAATATCCAAATTAATTGCTTACACTATATTAATTATTGAATTATTTTCATCCATATATTTATTATATTGGTTAATAAAACAATCAACAACCTTATCATATTGTCTGGGTTTCTTGTAATCTACTGATATTTTGAAACAAAAAAATTAAATAAATAAATAAATTCAGGAAAATACAGTTTATAGGAAAGAAGAGTGAAACACTAAAACCATATATAATATTGTAGGTAAATCCATAAAATAAATAAATTAAAGGGAAAATTGCACTTTGCCCCCTCAAAAGAGTATTTTTTGCACTTTCCCCCCTCAAAATACAAAAAACGAGACTGTCCCCAAGCGAAATATACAACTCTGTGCACTTTGAGCCAAATGTGTATTTCCGGTCTAATTCTTGTCGGATTTGAGTAAATTAGAAGGGTAATTTAGTCTTTTAAGACTTTAAATGTCATTTAAACTTTTTTTTCACCCTATACTACGATAATTATGAAGAACAAAGAACAAATTTTGTCGAATTTGGGAGACAATTTCATTTAATTTGGAAGAGAATTTCATCAAATTGGGAAGATAATTTTGTTAATTTGGGAACCCTAAGTCACTCTGAAAGGAGGATTTTCATCCGGAAAAAGTAAAATGACATATCTACCTTTAATTCGGATACCTTTAATTCGGACAGGAAATACACATTTGGGGCAAAGTACGTCGAATTGTATATTTCGAAGGGGGGCATTCTCATTTTTGTATTTTGAGTGGGGAAAGTGCAAAAAAGAATTCTTTCGAGGGGCAAAGTGCAAATTCCCCAAAAAAATAAAGAAAAGTTAAAAAAAATTACCAGTAAGAGATTGGAAGTTGTGTTCAATTTCACGGCAGGCAATGACAGCTTCAACAGCATGAACTCTGACGTGGCTGTGCAGCTGCTCTCTGAATGAACACAATACCACCATGTACTGCGCCTGTTTTTTTTTTTTTTTTTTTCATCACACACGCATTAAATAGTAGAATCTCGATAAATTAATATTCTCCCTTAAATAATAGTTTCTCCCTAATATTGTTAAATTCTTCACTCGATAATTTAATAATTCACTAAATTAATAGAATTTTGTTAATCTCGGCGGCTGTATTAATTTATTAACAAAATAAAAAACAAGATTTTTTTTTTATAAACTAGAAATTGATAGATCAAGAAAAACCCACAAAATATCACAAATCAAAACCCCAAAAAAAAAAATTAAATTAAATTTAAAAACAATTATGATGATGAGTAGGGTTTGATTTCATACCAAGAAATCGTCGAGTTCTTGCCTTTGATGCTGAGTGAGTGAGTTATGAGTGGCGTTTTGTGCATAAGAGCGCAAGAGATTGTGAGACTGAGAAAGCTGAGCGTCGATCAGTGAAAGCTGATCGATAGGCGTGGCCACGCGCAGGCACGCCACGTGTGCCGACAGCACCTGCTCGTACAGAGGGTGTGCGGCGATCTCCGCCTTCAGCTGCTGCTGCTGGTGGTGGTCGCCGCCGCCGGAACCCGCCGTGGAGAAATCAACGCCGAATCCTCCATTATAACAATTATCCATGCTTTCTTACTATGCCTTGTTTCTCTCCTCCTGCATATATATATTTTGTTATATATATATATATTTTCTTGGCACCACCAAGAATCAAAACGTCACTTTCCGACCAAAAATAAAAATTGAGTCTTTATTGCTTTTTTTCAGACAAACTATAAAGAAAGAAAATTGGAAAAAGGGGGTTGTGAGGAAATCAAAGCAAAGAGAAGAGAGAGAGAGAGCGAGAGAGAGAGAGAGAGAGAGAGTTATAAATGGTGGGTCTTTGAAATTTTGAACAAGGTGATGAAGTGAGGACCACTTAAATAAAATGAATTTATTTATCATCATTATTAGTGTAAATTATGAAGAAAAAAAATCAACAACTAATTCCTTAAGTATGAATCTTCTTTTGTACGGTGTCAAGAAATTTTTTTAGATTCCGTCAAATGTACTCTAGTTTGTATTTATTTTGTTTGTGTAAAGATGCAGTTTTTGATGCACCACTATCTAATATGTACGAGCCAACAGATACATCTTATGATCATCTTGTTGCATATGTGGAGCTCGAATGACTAAAAACGTGTACAAACTGCATAATATTGCACATAATATTGCACATAATTGTCCGCGTAAGAAAATTCATAATTAAGGAGTTAATTGTAATTAATTGAAGAAGAAGGTTCTTTTTTTGTAATTCACTATTATTAATATTGTTTGAGACAAGCAAAATAAAAGAAAGTCTCCGATGATGTGAAATATGTTGAATGAAAAAACTGTTCAAACTTTTACTTCAATTGTATATTTAGGGGGTGGGGGTGGGTGAGGGTAGCATAAGGATAGAGTATGGTGGAAGATTTCTTGATAATGAATAAAAAAAAAGAAGAAGAGAAACAATATATATTGGGATTAGAGACAACAACACTTTCTGCATCTGTTGAGCAGAGTTTGCAGATACTTAAAGATATAGGGAGCAAATCTCTGCTGCCTGAAAAAGATTTTTATTTTTATTTATATTTATATATATAAAATAATAAAATTATTTTCTTGGAAGTTCTGATTTGTCTTTTGTTTGGTTGTGGGGTTGCAGCAAAATTAATGGAGGAAGAAAGAGCTGCCACAGTACATCAACAGTAAATCTGTATCAATATTCTGTATTCAGTACAGTATATATATATACATATATATTAATTTTTGATTTGATTTTCAAAATTTCAATTTTCATCGGAGCGATTCTCATTTACTCATTTTTTATCGTTTTAATTGTTTTGAATTTAACTTATCGCAAGTTATATCTATTACAGTTAAACCTCTATATATTAATATGGTCGGGACTAGTAAAATTCTTTTAATTTAGCGAATTATTAAATTATCGAGTTAATAATTAAATACGTTTTCACGGAATCGAACAAAGAAAAACTATTATTTAATCGAGGTTATTAATCTACCGAACATTAATTTATCGAGGTTCGAGTGTACTTGTCGACTACCGCTAGCGGTCTTGCCTTGAAACTTGAATTTTCTTCGCAGAACCGGCTCGTTGTCATTTCTACTAATTAAACATTTAGTTCACATCCTCTATTAAATTATTCATTCTGAAAAATGCAGCTCCACTCACAATTCAAAATTTGCATTATATATATATATATATATATAAGGATGTAATTATCCCATCTAAAAGCAATGTGGTTTTTGGTTGGATTAGGTGATAGCGATACCCCAACATTATTATTCATAAACTCCCAAGCAAACTACTAGTCACTTTTTAAAAGCATATAAATACAATTTCTTTG